TTTTTTTTTTTTTTTTTTTTTGTTTCTGCTGTATGTGTCTTCTCTTTTCAATCAGTGATTGGATGGAGTTTTGGACTTGGTGGCTTAGGCCGAGCAGGCTTAATTAAGAAAGTATTTGTTGGCTACAAGAGGATTGGGAGTAGCAAACACGTAACAGCATGTAGACTACCAACTCAGTCGAGTACGAGGTCCATGTCAGCACGGTAGTGTGTCAAGATTGTAAGGCAGAAGCACATACAGGTTGATACAATAGGTGTGTAATCCGGATATAGGGAAAAATATATGAGCATAAACGTTGTACGATTATGAATGTCATGCAGCAGGTCAGAGATGGAGACGTCATTAGTCGGATTGGCCGACCGATGTCCAAAATCAAAACAAAGGGATTTTTCCAAATACTCTGCAGATGAATCTCATCGACAAACAAAGAGATCTACGAACCTCCCGAAGCAGGCAAAAGTTGCCTCCCTACTGCAGCTCCGGCTCCGACGCCGGCGACGCTCCAGGCGGCGCCACCCAGAAACTATTCTTCTGACACAAGACCTTAAACCCACTCAGAATCTGGTGAATGGCCGACATCTCCCCCACTATCCGATACTCGTTCCGCCGGTTCCGCGCATGGAGGGCGCGGGGATCTTTCCTCAAAAGTCGTCGCCGCTGCTCGCAATTTAGCGAGTAGAATCGACACTTTTTGCCAACGATGACAAGTCCCTCGAAGTCCAGGTAGCGTCCGGCGCTGTGGGGAACCAGCATTTTCAGATGGTTCAACCGCCATAGCAATGCGTTCTTCTCGGGGGGCCGCTCGTGGCCGCCGACCACCACCAGGAACGTGGTGGACCCGGGGGTCGAGAGCTCGAGGACCTCGTTGAGGGTCAGGTTTTCTGCCTGGGTCAGGGGGTTGATGGTCCAGCCGCGCTTGTAGATATATCCCTCGGACGGGGGGAAGAGTTCTTCCAGAGCGTTGACAATGTGCTGGAAGTAGATTGGACGTGTCATGGTGGGGGTTTGGAGTTAGACGGTCAAGGACTTACCGGCTATCTTTTGGAAATGGGGCCTGGTGATGAGAGGGTGTTTGGATGATTATGGGGATATTATATATTCTTTGAGGTATTAAATATCCTGGAAGTCTTTGATGCAGGCTCTTTTGCAGAAAGAACATGGCTGCGATGCTGAGATAGTAGGAGGGAGTTTCCGGTTATATCGCTTTGACTTAGCCTCCACCTGGCTTTTAGCGGTAGTACTACAGGAAAACACCGCGGATCTTTTAGTTTCAGATGAGAGAGATGCAGTAAGAAGGTATTTTACAGCACTTGATACATGGTGAAATGACCCCGTTTCGTATGCAGAGGTAGAGTCGGGTAGTGTATAATCCCGCGATAGTATGCTCTCGACGAACGAGAGAGGTTCGACCTTGAAACTCGGAAATACGACTGGATCCGAAGAGAAAAATGCAATCCCTCACGTGTCACTTCGTATACAGGAATCTGCTCTGCTGTTAGCATCTGAATTGGCTGGTTTAAGAACTCTCTACCCTGAACGACGTTAGGGGCCCAAGGCACTCACTGTACTGTACTTGGGGCATAAAACCAGGCTCTGACTGCAAATGACATTGTGGGTTCGAAAATTCCCGTAGAAGTATCGAGCGAAGATCTGCGCATCTTGGAACGAGAGCTGATGTGAAAAGGTGGGTAAGCATCCATGTGAATTGGAGTTGACACTCCCTTAAATGTTGGATGTGTTACTCCGTACCTTCCACCAAACAGCCATCATCACCACCACCACCACCACCACCACCACCACCACCACAACATCAACAACATCAACAACAACACACCCTCGTCTTCCTCCTCTCTCAAATTTCCCTTCCATCCTTCTCTCCACATCTCACCTCTATCCTTCTCTTTTCCAGTCCGGTACACTTCGAAGTCCCCCTGTTACCCTGACTCCCACCCTCAAAATGTCATCTCTCCCATCTCAAGGGATTAACACTCCTTTAAACGCCGATTTCCTCCACAAGCACAAGCTCCGGTTCGAGTTCGCCCAGTCTCATAAAGGCGAGGAGTACCCCTCAACCAAGCATCTTCGTGCCGAGCTTCCTCAACTCTTCAAGGTTCGGGGACACCACTGGACAGAGGGGCCAATGTTCTCGTTCCCCCTTTCCCCCGCCTACGCCCCCTGCACAACCCCGTTAGAGCACCTCACCAAAACCATGGTCGATTACTTGAAGCGCGAAACCCACCACCGCGGGCAGTACATTCTTCTACGGACACTGACACCGACCGACTTCCGCGTCGTTGTGGGAGCTGTCACGGAAGACGAGGCGGGGAATGTGATTATGCTGCAGCTGCATAACCAGGGGACTGGAGTCTTCGCTCGTGGGGGATTATCTGAAGGGACGGTGCTGGTGGTGGTTGAACCGTATCTGCATATTCCTGGTGTCAGCCCTTGTGCGATCCGCGTGGACCATCCTTCTGACCTGCGCGTTCTGTCTGATTGGGACATCATGGTGCCGGTGCAGTGGCGCCGACAGTTGGTCGGGCCCGAGTTGGGTGCCATGCAGTGGAAGGCGAAGGGAAATGATGCCTTCAATGCCGGGAAATATCGTCGTGCGATCGATTGGTAAGACATGCGGATTGCGGTTTCCTGCGCACAGAAGCTAATCACCGAGGACAGCTACACTCAGGCTCTATCCTCCTCATCCACACCGGACGAGGCCCTGACCATCACCATCAAGCTCAACCGCGCTCTGACCTTCCTCCGATCCCATCAGTTTGACGCCGCCCTTCGCGATCTCGAACCACTCCCCCAGTCCTCGGAGAAAGCCCTCTTCCGCAAAGCCCAAGCGTTGTAGCATCTCCAGCGCTTTGCCGACTCCTGCGAGGTACATAGGGTGCTTGAGAAGGCATTCCCCGGGAATCGCCTCGCGCAGAGCGAGTTCGCGCGCGCCAAGGCCCGGCTCGCAGAGCAGCGGACGGGGGTGTTTCCCTTCAAGGAGATGCAGCGCGCGGCCACGAGGCGCTCCCCACCGCTGCTGGACCGCGCCATCTACGTCGGCCCTGTCGCAGTGCGCCCGACACAGTCCTCGGGGCTGGGACTCTTCACGACCACGGCCGTCAAAGTGGGTGATCTGCTCGTTTGTGAGAAGGCGTTTGCCTGCGCCCATATGGATCTGTATGACTTCCGCAAGAGTCGGGTAATGCGGGTCGACCCGGAACGCGAGAGCGTCACCCCCGCAAATATTATCGAGCGGTTGAGACTGATGACGCGAGTTTGCCAAGGTCACGTAACGGATTGTCGTCGGGGAGGATGAGACTTTTGGGGAGACGTTTGCGTGGCGGGCTGATTTGCCGGATGGGTTTCTTTCTCCGGAGCGGTGATTTCGGGGGGTTTGACTTCTTGATGTGACCTTAGGTGTGTTAAGACTCCTGGTGTGGTGGTACTTGATTCGTAGTGATGGGGTTGTGGTGGTTGATGTTGTGGAGATTCTTGCTGCCATGCTTAGCTTGATAGCACAGACGACTCCGTGTCTAACATATTGAAGAGTTACAGAATGCACCTACGACCTAGAACTCCAGATTAACCCAGTACCATTCTGCTATGCGCTACCCCGAGAGTAAATGACCCAACACAAACTATACTAAATCCACCACCACCCCTTCCCATCCCCAGCCCTAACCCTTCCTCCCTCATCGCCCCCAGACCAACCGCGCATAACAACCCCCTCCACCACTAAAATCAACCCTAATCACCCTCTAAAAGGTGACAGTAGTATAAGGCCCCTACCAACCCCAATCCCAGCATCAGCATCAGCATCAGCACCCACCCCTACCCTCCCACCCCCAAGAGGAGTAACTCACCGCATTCTGACCCCCCTGGTCCTGGCCCAGACCAACATCCTGCTCCTGGTTCTGATCCCGGTTCTGCTCCTGCGGCTGCTCCTCCGTGCCAATACAGGTATCATCCCGACTGACCCCGTTATCCTGGCACGCGCCGCGACGGCACGTGGTCCGGTAGATCAGGTAGTCCTCGTCGGCGGTGCACAGGTACAGCGAATCCAGCAGCTGGTGGGAGGTCGGGGCGATCCCCTCGCGCTGGAGGGCGGTTTGCATGTCTTGGGCGTAGTTGCCTATCCGTCCACGAGACAGTGGAAGTGAGGTGGTTAGTTAGTCTTCGCTTGATTTGTTCACATTGGTGGTTGGGGGTGTGTTGGTTGTTTGGGCTGGGTTGTGAAGCCCTAGGGTTGGGTTCTGGGTTTGTGCTTGTGATTGTGCTTGTGCTATGTGCTACTTGTGCTCGAGCAGGAGGGAATACCCTTCTTGACCAGGGAGGTGCCGCAGTAGGTCATGCCCTGGGTGCAGCGGATGGCGACGGCGCAGGAGGCGGCGCCCAGGATGGCGAGGATGGTGGAGGTCTTCATTTTGAATTTTGGGGAAGGGGTCTTCGGTAGATGAGACGAGACGAGATGAGATGAGATGAGATGATAGCAATGGGAGATGCTGTTGGGTGATGAAGGTGTGATTTGGGAGGATTCTTCGCGATATTTATGTCTGCTCTTCAGCTATGAATTGCTGGCGAAGGGTCTAGATCGTGGTTATGAGGACAGAAGCTATTGTTAGCTGTTGCTTGCTATGTTTGTGCGGAGGTGACTATCGCTGCAGGCGGGTCGCGGCGCGCAGGATGGTTGGCGTGCGACGTTAATAACTACCTAGTATATCGCTGTGGGAGAGGCATTAGACCTCTGGTTACAGCGATATATGCAAGCAATATTTGTCAAGAGAGTAATACCGCTTCGTAGTCGATGGTCGGGATCATACCACTGCTTCGATGGTGTCGGGTCCAAACAAGCTTGACACATGCAGTATGGTTACGCAGCTGACGAGCTATACCTTACATTGTGTCAGGAACGTCTATTCAAATAATCACTAAATGCGCCGCATCATGCATGTCATGTGTAGTCTGTATATGACTGGAGCCCGGAGGCAGGATTGCCTAATCCGGCAAACCGCGTTCCACCAGAAGCTCGGTATTGGAACTACCACAGAATTGTAGTACAATACACTCAGACTTATGGCATGCATGTAGCACCCCACTCACTCCACCAAATCTAGGACTACTCCGCAGCCTGCACCACCTGGGCCCAGTCCCCAAACCCATACGCCCCGGGCACGGCTGCCCCATCAAACAAGCTCGCCATGACCACGCGATCCGACTGCTCCCCAAGCCACGGCTCCCGACCATGCTGCGCCACAATATTATCAAACACCAACACATCGCCCTTCTCCCAACGATGCAGTACCCGGATCTCGTCTGTGATCCTCGTCAAGTGCGCCAGATACTTGTCTGGAATCGGCGTGCCGTCCCCGAAGAGCTGCTGCGTGTCGTTTCTCCGTGCACCTGACTTGGCCTGCCCTCTCTTCCAATACGCCGCCAGTCCTGTGAAGAGCGTAGGAAGATTAGTTTCCGGCTGCGTCCGAATAGCAGGGAGGCGGTGCGTGAGAACCAGCTGCGTCTGGCCGTCGTCGTCTTTTGACCATTCCCAGGTCGTGTATTCCCCGCGTCCGTAGCGCGCAATCTGAGCCTCCACCTTGCGACGCTTGGTTTCCTCGTCATCACCTGGCTGGAACTCCTTTCCGAAGGCCTGCCGCATTGTCGAGCCGCCTGCGAACTGCTGCTGAAGCTTATAAGTCACGCGACTGAGGACGCCTTTCTCGGCTAATTCGTCGATGAACTCCGGGATCTCACGCTGGGCGCGGTTAAAGAGCTCGAGGGAAGAGGAGATTGGCGATTCACCGCCCTGCATTGGCGCACGATGGCCATAAAAGAAGACGTATTCTGGTGCGTGAGGAACTTGTGGAGACTCGTTGTGGTTGTAGATGAGAACTTCCTTGGGTGCTTCATTGGCCGGCGCGACATTAGGCGCAAGCAGGGGTCTATCAACCACAATACCAATAATCTCGTGTGGTTTGTAGCCGAATGCGTGAGTGAAGTTGCTGAAGTCCTCTGCATTGTGAATAGGCAAGTCACGGAAGAGAATGGTTCCGTGGCGTGCGAGATGCTTCGTGAGACTGTTATCTTTTCTTTGAAGAGATTCGATAGTGGCAATAACACCATCGAGTGTAATCTCAGCGGAGGTCTCCCGCGAAGGACGCAGCGCAAGTGGGATTACGGTCCCCTTTGGGTGAGGAGGTCCAAGTCGACGCTGATTAGACGTAGGGAGCTTGAACGACTCGAAAGTGACCCAGCCTTCCAACTGTTGCCCATCCAGTGAGAGTTCTCCGATCTGAATCTCTTCCGTGACTGCGGCCATTTCAGTGATTCTGCAGTCTTTCAGGACGATCCGGTGGATGAAATGTAGGCGAAAGTTGAGTTGCAATTTCTAGCTTATCCGGCAACAAGCGGGGTAAGTTCGCTCTCTTATCTCACAGGGTCACAAAGCAATGGAGAGCTGCAATGATTGGTGTCGATATGCTCCAGACCGGGATCATTCACTGCCAAGATGTGCTGAGGGGTATCTTTGCTTGTGCCATGCATGGGCACGGTTACGTGATCAAGCACCCGGTAGAAACGATCGTCGTGTTTGCAGACATAAGTCAAGCCCCTTGCATCTGGAAGAGCAGATAAAACAGACAGCGACATAGAAGTGTCTCGCACTTGTCATCATGGCGCCATTTCCCAAAGTAGATCAGGAAGCAAGCATGACTGACATAGCGAGTATGTCCACCTCTCAACAAGAGCGTCAACAAGCCCATCTCCGATCCTTCCGGAGCACACTCTTCCAAATCCTCGTCGTCGGGCTTTGCGCATTTTGTGCTCCTGGTATCTGGAGCGCCATGAATGGCCTCGGAGTTGGCGGCTCTCAGAGTCCCAATCTTGTCAACGCCGCAAACGCTCTTCTCTATGCTTTCATGACAGTCACCTGCTTTGCAGGTCCATGGGTGACCAACCTCATCGGCTTTCGCTGGACCCTCACGCTTGGGTCCATTGGTTACCCGCTGTATGCAGCAGGACTATACGTGAACAACCGTACCGGTGTCACCTGGCTCGTTTATTTTGGCTCAGTGGTCTGCGGTATCAGTGCAGGTTTCTTTTGGAGTGTCGAGGGGGCCATTGCAACCGGCTACCCTGAGCAGCACAAACGCGGCCGCTACCTAGCAACGTGGTTCACCTTCCGGAACTTTGGGAACATCATTGGCGGAGCAATTTCACTTGCTCTTAACCACAACGTCAACCATAAAGGCCAAGTCGGGTACCAGACTTATCTTGGTTTCATCGCCATTCAGTGCCTCGGCTTGGTGTTCGGACCACTGCTGTCGAATCCAGAGAAGGTGCAACGCGACGACGGAACGCGGATCGAAGCCCCTCGTGGGGTTGAGTGGCGTGAGGAAGGTCGAATCATGTGGCGACTAATGCGCAGCAGGTCAATCTTGCTGCTCATGCCACTATTCTGGTACTTTGGCTGGATTCAAGCGTATCCGGGCACGTATCTCGCGACGTATTTCACCGTCCGGTCGCGAGCTCTGGGAAGCTTTCTGTCCGCCGTCGTAGGCACACTGGCTACTTGGCTTGGGGGGTCATTGGTTGATCTACCTTGGCTGAAAAGCCGCAAGAAGCGGGCAATCATCACATACATTCTGATTGCTGCGTTGAACAGCACCACCTGGATATGGGCTGTGGTGATCCAAAACGAGTATCGCCATACACAGCCGGTCCTGGATTGGGGTGATCAGCGCTCATTCGGACGGGGGTTTGGTTTGTATCTCTTCGAACGCATCAGCCTTGGCTTCGTCGAGAACTATATATATTGGTGCATCGGCAACTTGTCTGATTCCCCAGGCGATCAAATTCGCTACAGCTCGTTACTGAGGGGCATTGAGACGGCTGGCGTGGCTGTGGGATTTGGTGTCCAGGCTGTTCCGACCGCGCTGATTGCGACAGCGAGTATCAACTGTGGTTTGTGGTTCTTCGCATTGCCTTTCAGTTACTATGCCACTCTGCAGGTTTTGCGGAAATATGATAGTCAAGCCAAGAGGGGCGATTGCAGGACTGATGGGTAGAAAAGTGAAGTAGAAGCTCCTGTCGATCTAGTCAACTTAGTGCTAAGTTTACCAAGTGGTGATAACACCTCAGACTCACTGCATCCTGATTGATCCATTGCATGGAATACCAATGAATCCACCGATTCTTACCACTGATAAGAGTCAAACAAGCGACCGCGATGTAGCTTTGAGACCCGTGGCAGCTTTGTGACAATGAAAGATGATTTCCACGCGACTCTGTATCCAGGTTTCTTGGGGTGTTACAGATACCAGACTATTCTGGGCAGAAACATGAAGGCCGGCGTCCGAGTGACTGAGTGAAGCAATTGAAAAGGATTGAGTGTAGGAGAGAAGGTGGAATGGTGGGAAAGGTCAAAGGTCGAAGGTCATGTGCCTGTGAGTTTGTAGTCTTTGTCTGGTTGGTGTTATTTGTCTTGTTTAGTCTGTTTGGAAAGGTTATCACTCATCTACTGCTTCGTCCTCTACTCACTGTAGTATCTCAATGTCAACTATAACAGTTGGGATCTTGTACTTTATCTATATCTATGGGAGTAAGTATAGAACTTCCTATTTGAGGAAAGATCATGCTAATAACCTGTTGAAGCAAGAATCGATCCTCACATGAGTCTCCACTGCTATTTGTTCAGCACGGTTATTCGATGTCAAAGAGTGCACAGGCGTGGTCCTATCCCTCGGGTAAAATATATATCATAACTGGAAATTCAAAATAAGCAATCCCAAGAACAATTCGAGAGCGTCCCACAGCCCGGAGTGAGCTGATCAAGAGGAGATAACATCATCCGAGCACACTGAAGCTACAATTCATCGCCAATCGTCTGTGGCTCTGATGAGGGCTTCCGTTGAGAGCACCAAAAAACACATGAGAATGTGTAAAGGAATGCAAAAAGATGGTCCCAGAGGGGGTCGAACCCTCGACTTTAACGTTATTAGCGTTACGCTCTAACCAACTGAGCTATGGGACCCAGTTGATGTGAGAAGCTAGGTTTTGTGCTTACACATTCCCAAATCAAAGCGAATGAAGGTACAAAAATCGGAACCTCACCTCATGCATGCTTGCTGCCTAGGTACCCGGGCAACTCGTGTCTCCCTGATTTCCAACTCGAATGGCTGGCCGAGGGAATGCGACCCACTGCCCCGGAACTGGCGGCGCCGATAACTGGAGCAGAAGGAATTGCGCCGATCGCAACCACGCCATAGTCAAGAAAGGTTAAGCATTCGGCCCCGTGCTTGTTTACCTTGGCTAGTTCAAGCGAATTTGCCGACCATTTCTTCTCGCCAATGACCCTGTTTTGCTGGCCATTGCACCATCCGTCGTCAAGAATCCGACACTGTCCATCGCTCACGACGACAGTTCACTACCGCATGTTCGGCTGAGCTCGTCGACCAATTTTGCGAGTAAGACATCGGCAAAGGATAGGCAACAGCCAGAAATGGCGTGGTTGAGCAAGACACCTTATCATCCAGCGGGGCAGATTTACCCCGACGGACTCCGGACGAGGGTCGAGGGTAAACAACCCCATTCTTATCACGACATCGCTTACAGAGCCGAGCCCATATTGTCCGGGGTGCCCTGAGGAATTGCACGACAAATAGCAGCAATCTGCAGGTCCCGTCCACCTGCATTAGCTTAACGAATTACGAAATGGGTTGAAGGAACCCCGTCGGTGTGCCTGCAGGCAGCTTCGATCCGACCAAACGATGCAGCTTCCTGCTGCCGGTAATCAAAAACCACGTCGATGCGCGATATGACCTCACCGACCCGCCCGCGCACTTATAACAGCGGTGTTCCCCCGACATTTCCCCAACCCAGTTGTGCACCTCCTGGGAAACGCTCTGTCTTGTCAAGATGCATACCACCGGCCTGTATACGGCACTCTTGTGCTCTCTGGCGGCTTCAGCCCAGGCCATCGTCCACGAGAAGCTGGCGGCCGTCCCTGCCAGTTGGACTTACCTCGAGGATGCTGCTCAGGGCAACACCATCAGTTTGTCGATTGCGCTGAACCGTCAAAACCTGGACAAGCTTCAGGCCAAGCTCACCGCCCTTGCCACTCCTGGTGAAGCCCAGTACGGCCAATGGCTGGACTTGGAGGACATCAACAAGGAGTTCCCCGTGGCCAACGCCGACGCTGTCGTCAGCTGGCTGCGCAGTGCAAACATCACCCAGATCTCGCAGGATGGCAGCATGGTGAACTTCGCTGCGCCCGTCAGCACGGTGAACAAGCTCCTCAACACCACCTTTGCCTACTACCAGAGCGGCTCTTCCACCAAGCTGCGCACCACCCAGTACTCCATTCCGGAGAGCCTGGTCGACACGATTGACCTGATCTCGCCGACCACCTACTTCGGCAAGGACAACGCCCAGGCGGAGCTGTCGAAGCTGACGGTGCAGCTCCCGGCGCAACACACCAAGAGAAGCTCCAACTCTACCTGCGCCGAGCGTATCACCCTTGCCTGCCTGAAGGAGATGTACAACTTCGGCAGCTACACCCCCAGCGCCTCGTCGGGCAGTAAGATCGGCTTCGGCAACTTCTTGAACGAGTCTGCCTCGTACTCCGACCTTGCCGCTTTCGAGAAATACTACAACCTCCCCTACCAGGAGTTCGACGTTGAACTCATCAACGGTGGTGTCAACGACCAAGACCCTGCGACCGAGAGTGACGGCGAGGCCGATTTGGATGTCGAGCTGCTCGTCGGTGTTGCCCACCCTCTGCCGATCACTGCCTTCATCACTGGCGGTCTTGCGTGAGCCCCGCACTACTCTCCGAATGACGACAGCAAAGTAAGCTAACAAGCGCAGTCCTTTCATCCCCGATCCCGATGAGCCCACTGCTGCGGACGACTCGAACGAGCCCTACCTCCCGTACTACGAGTACCTGCTGTCGAAGCCCAACTCCGCTCTGCCCCAAGTCATCTCCAACTCCTACGGCGATGACGAGCAGGTATGCCACCACCCCAGCCAACCACGAACCGTGTCCCTCACTAACCTCCCCAGACCGTTCCCGAGTACTACGCCAAGCGCGTCTGCAACCTGATCGGCCTGATGGGCCTCCGCGGTATCTCCATCATCGAATCCTCCGGCGACGAAGGTAAGCCAGCCCAGCCCAGCTCATAACCCCTCCATCATCGGCCCCATCCTAACCCCAGAAACAGGAATCGGCTCCGCCTGCCGCGCCGGAGACGGCAGCAACCGCCCGCAATTCCAGCCGACCTTCCCGGCGACCTGCCCGTACGTGACAGCCATCGGCGGCACGCAGTCCTACGGGCCCGAGATCGCCTGGACGGGCAGCTCCGGCGGCTTCAGCAACTACTTCCCGCAGGCGTGGTACCAGCACGACGCGGTGGAGAAGTACCTGTCGCACCACATCACCAAGGAGACCAAGACGTACTACTCGCAGTACGCCAACTTCAGCGGCCGCGCGTTCCCCGACGTCTCGACCCACAGCTATGATCCTCCGTATGTTTCTGCACCCACACCCCACACCCCACACCCCATACCCCCAAATCGATGATCGAAGTCAGAAACCCCAACCCTGCTAACGCAAACCCAGCTACGTGGTCATCGAGGGCAACACCACCGTCGGCACGGGCGGCACCTCGGCCGCGGCCCCCGTCTTCGCCGCCTTGGTCTCCCTCCTCAACGACGCCCGCCTGCGCGCCGGCAAGCCCGCCCTCGGGTACCTGAACCCCCTGCTGTACAGCAAGGACGTAAGCAAGCGATTCACCGATGTGACGCTGGGCCAGTCGGTCGGCTGCGACGGCACGGACCCGCAGTCCGGGGAGACCGTCCCGGGCGCCGGGATCATCCCCTGGGCGTACTGGAATGCGACCGTCGGCTGGGATCCGGTTACTGGACTGGGGCTGCCGGATTTCGAGAAGTTGAAGGAGGTGGTGCTGAAGTACTAGGTTTGAATTTGTATAGCATGTATGAGTTTGCGGTCTGGCTGCAGGCACTATTATCTAGGTTAGAAATGTAAGACTGTTGGTATGTGTAGCGGTGTGCATTTGGACTGACAGTATCAAACCAGTCCTCTCGATTCTTCACCAGTTACGATAGGGTCTCTCAGCTAGGGCTAGATAAGACACAAGATCATACTAAATCTTCCGGACTCATGGACGATCACCAGGGTTCCCTTCTTGTACGCCAAAGCGGCCGCGCGTTGTTGCGGCGGTAGCCAGAGAATCTTTTCCCCATTGACACAGAGCCATTCCCTTTCATACACATGAATCAAGGCAATGCGACTTGCCCAGGCGGCATGTGTCCCGGTGAAAGTCCGCTCGAATTGTGCGTCCTTTGCGTCCCAAACGCGGATGGTGTTGTCATCCAGCTCGAATGCGACTCTTCGACCGTCGGGTGAGAGCATCATGGATCTGATGAGGAGTGAACGCCATTCGGGAATCTCAATGAGGCGAATCGACTGGCTTGTGCGAGGATTGTATAGTCCGATTGAGTTCTCCTCGGAACGGACGAGTAGCCTTCCATTGGCCACGAAGGCGATGTCGTTTCCAGCCTGGGACTGGATCTGAGGCAAGGGCTTCGGTTCGTCATGACCGAGCTCCCAGAGGTCGATGAGCCCCCCAGAGCAGTTTGAAGCCAGAATATCTCCGCGGGGTGAAAAGCGAATAGAAACCACCTCCGAATTTTGGTCCCAGCTCGCCTCGAGATTTCGGGTGTGTATGTTCCACAGTTTCACAAGCGAGTCTTTGCCTCCTGTGGCAATTCGATTTCCACACGGTGAAAAGTAGAGGGTGCACATATGTTTATGCCTACCTAGGATAGCAGTGCATTCACCGGTTCTTGGATTCCAGAGCCTGACGCGGCCTTCCTCGGAGCCGGATGCAAGTAGTTCACCATTGGGTGACGGCACGATCCAACGCGCAACGTGATACCTGGGCCGAGATGCATGCTGTATCTGGTCGATCGAAAGATCCCAGAGCTTCAAGATGTTGCGATAGCCCGATACAAGCAATCTGCTATTTGGTGAGAAGGCAAGAGCCTCTGGCCGGTCAGGATGACCATGATCAATCTCGTAAGTACTGCCATTGTTAAGGTTCCAGAGCGAGATCTTGCTTGCGCTTGTGTTGAATGCGAGCATGCTGCAATCTCGAGAGAACACTATTTGCCCGGTGTCTCCACGAGTTGCTAGCCTGCCACATAGGACTTTTGCTTTGACACTCCGGATATCAATATACCCTTCGGCAAGGAACGCTAGGAAGCGACCATCAGATGACAATTGCGGCCAAGATATTTGAGCACGCTTGGACTCAAACAGGTCCAGTAGTTCCATTGAAGCCGCATCAAAGACCTCGACGGTATAGCGGCCGACACTATAACTATCAACAGAGATTAATAGTCCCCCTCCTGCTGCGAAAGCAAGCGAGTGTGGTGTGCGGTCACCACGGGTAATGTATTGTTGAGTGCCTGTGGTCAGATCGCAGACCCCGAGACGACCGTCTTCAAAAGCCACTGCCAGCATTGAACCATCAGGCGAGAACACTACACAGCATACTGCACTAGCATGGCTCTCGAAAGGCTTGGCACACTCGCCTGTATCGGTGTTCCAGAGTTCAATACTACCATCTTGAGAGCCGATGGCTAGCACCGCGCCCTTCTCCGAAAGATCCGTGCATCTGATGCAAGTCGAATGAGTCTGAACAGTTTGTTGGTGCTGGCCCGTGGTGGCGTTCCAGAATTCAACTATCCCCTCCTGATGTGTTGATACCAGCAGCCTGCCATCCGGCGAGAACACGATTGACCGAACCTCTTCTCTCAATCTTCGCTCCGAGTTCAAGATTGCTTCAGTTGACCGAAGGGTCTGTATACCAGGCCCCCAGTACTCTTCGAACATCGGTGTCCCGCGTATCCAGCTAGACATGTCTGCAGAGAATCGATTGCGAATGATTGAACTTTTGGGGATAAATATGAGCCCTGAAGAGTAGATCTGTAGGGGCGCAAGATCCGCGAGCTCGCTGTTGCTAAGGATGAAGCGTCTGGCGTCGTGAAGGAATGCGTTTATCGCAGGGTCTTGGCTAGTCTAACCTGATCAGTTGCCTTCCATTGATGCGATGCGGGCACTCACCTCCATAAAGGACTGCAAAAGGTCCAGTATCATAACGACTTCGTATATAAGTCCTTGAAAACTCAAGATTTCTATCCAATGAAGAAAATGTTCCTGCAGAAACAAGAAGGACTGCTCTACCAGAGCTGAAGGATTCTGGCTTCGTGCTAGATGATGTATCCAGTAACGACTAGCATAAGTCAGATGCTGAGGCAAGCGGCTATTTATCCAAGCGGGATCAACGTCCCTCCGACATGTGCAATCGTCTGCGAGACCTAGAAAGTTCTTTCGGAGGGAGGTGCTCATAGCTCGCAGACATTGAGTAGTAAGATGTTGGTGTACTCCCTTTTCGTCTACCCAGAACTGTTTGCTGGAGTCTGTCTCCTTGGTTCGCTGATCAAGAAGGTAATCACGAAACGAGATATGGAGGATTCTCACTGGCTGTGTGTGATCGGTAGGAACGTCGAGAAACGAGTAGAGCTGACTCAGTCGTGTGTGAATCTTGGTGTGCGTGACTCCCAGAATTGCAGCAAGTGCGGTAGATGAGAGAGGCCTCACAAGCAAGATGATCGATCCAACCAGTATCTTCAACTCGGCAATCACAACCTGGGTTTCTCCATGGCTCTGCCCTCAGGTAATCTGTCTGAGGACTGGTAAATAGACCTCATCCAGTTTCGATACATAGTGAGTCTGGTCCTCAAGAACCGCCTCGAGGCGTTCTTCCGGGTCCCAATTAGTATCTCCAATAAAACGACACAGGGTGACGGCAGCAATGAACAGTGGCCTGGCTCGGTCCAGAAGCCAGTTTAGAGCTTCGTTGCCCGGCCAGCCATTGTCTAGTTGATGCTGGGCCCGAATCTCCGAAAGGCGATGCTCCAAGAAAGTAAAGATGTCCCGATCGATCGCTTGCTGGTGAACATTGTTGAGATTTACACGGTAGAGATAAGGCTCCGTTTTGCCAAGGGCGAGTCCGATTGAACGTTCTGGTCGACCCGTCAGGACAAATCGTAGCAGCAGCGACTTCGCCTGCTGGACCTGTGGCAACAGCTGCAGTATAGTTGTCAAATCGTCTCTGTGTATTTCCGAGTCGCACTCATCCAAAGCATCGATCACGACAACCCTGGCGATGGTGCGATCGTGTTCTAGTGCCAACAATGGCCGGAGACACAGCCTTTCCCATTGTTCTTTCAAGGACCTCTCCGCAATATCCGGGTTTTCTTCAATCGCGTTTGCAAGAAGTGGCTTGAGCTCCGAGACTTGCTGCGCCAATTGTTGCGCCAGGGTAGGAAACAATCGCTTTGGCGTGCCCACGGTCTCCCCCACCTCGCTTGAAGAAGAAACTCGCGCCGAGTAGCCCCTCCTTATCAAGTGTCCTCGCAGCTTCGGAGGCAATGGACGACTTGCCGGTCCCCGCGCCCCCAGTCACCCAACAGAATATGGACTCTCGGGAAGTCGATTTCGCCCACTTGTTTATCGCGTCCAGAATTTCCGTCCTTGTCCCTGGAAGACAGCCTAGATGATCGTTTCCATGCGCGTTGAAGGCCGCGTCTGCTGCAACTGGAAGCTTCTCTGTAGAGAAGAAAATCAATAAGGTACTGTGAAGTCGCCTGAGCCAGTAGATCGGGCTCCACAAAGACGTACCTGAGGCGAGATGAATGTGGCCATGATTTATGCCCACCCAGAATCCTGAATTGTTGCCATGGTTCTCCACCGAGTTGTTGACGGAGCCCATTGTCTAAGTCGAGTTTGCTATGAGCTGAGGAGAGAAGAGAAGGAAGGAAGAGGTCGGAGGAGACCGGTAGCTGAAACTCGATCTCAACCCCCGCTGTCAGGTGACGCCCCAGAGCAACTGACTTGCTTTAGTGCTGATGCAGGCGCTTAAATCTGATGTTCGATTGGCCTCGTTGGAGAGGCAAAGCAATCCCATATGTACTGTACAGCACAGTCCATACAGAAGAAGACTCCTGCAGCCCCGACATGACATATTCCGTTCGAGTAATGCTTACATGTAGAGTGATTCTGATCTTGCACAGAGTGTTTGCCAGTTGTACGTCTCACTTTGCTGATTTGCAGAACACTCTGTTGTCAAACAAGCAAGCAAGCTATCCCGCTCCGAACAGATACCCCTGCTTACTTGGTACTTTTGGCGGCCCAACCTGCCTCGGCCTGTTGCCTTCGGTTACTTGTGGTTCGTTATCTCGGTGCCGTCGCCACCACCACGCAAGTTACCTCACTCTCGGGTCTTCATCTGATGTGCACTGCTCTGGTGTCCGTACTTCTACTCCCTGAGGGTGATTGGGCGAGTAAAATACCATGATTTATTAGTTAATATTATACTTGATGAAAGGAAGATCAAAATCTAGCTAATGTTATCACAGTGGTGTATGTAACAGTTACAAGGAATATACAGACTTTGTCAATGCACAATCCATGCGCTCAACTACACATCGGTATCTTCTCAAGCACTCTGGGTAGGAGCAACACCCATGGACCCAGAAGGCGCACCGCTCATAGACCCAGAGGGCATGGCATCACCGGAGCCAGAGCCACCACTGCCACCGAAAGCAGAGCTGTCAGAGTTCTGGTGACCACCAGTCTCGTCGTAATACGCAGCAATGCTGTAGTAGGAGTTGTCGGTGTAATCGGCCGTGGTGTTGATACCGATTTGGATCCACGCGAACAAGCCATCCTCGAGGCTGTCACCGAGGTAGATGTACTCGGGGAAGGGGTCGTAGGCGGAGGAGGCCTGGAGGACACTCCACATGTCATCAGCATTGGTGGTGACAGCCTGGGTGTTGGTGGTGTAGGGGTAGGTGTCCTCAACGGCGGAGCGGAGGACCTCGTTCCAGAACAGCTGGCCGATGTGGGCGACGCTACCGGTGCCGACCTGCAGGGTACCGTTGTTGCGGTTGATGGTGGAGTTGAGGTGGGTGAGGAGGTGGGTGTGGGTGGCGCGGCCATCGTAGTGGCCGGGGAAGATGGTGCTGAAGGTCACAACTCCGTCCTCGTTGGTCTCCTGGATACCACGGAGGTAGGTTGAGTCCCAGCCGTCGGCGGCGTAGTTGCCGCTGGTGGAGATGCCACTACCGATATGTTAGAAGATTGAATGTGTATAGAGTGAGTGTGTGGACATACCTGTAGACACCGGTGGCATTGGCATTCCAGATGTCAACCAGAGCTCCCTGGACAGGGAGACAGGTGTTCACGTCAATGTACTGCACCTCGAGGTAGACATCGACACCGTCGCAGTACTGCTCCTCCTTCACATTCTGGCGGATCACCTCGCCCCAGACGTAGTAAGGGCCGTCGGTGATGGTAGGGGTCAAGATGGAGCTGGTGTTGGCGCCAAAGATTTCGGCGTCGGCGTTAAGACCGTGGTGCACAAGGCCGGTCTTGTTGTGGTTGATGGCTTCCCACTTCTCGAGGGCCGCGAGGTCACGACGCCACTTCTGGGGAGCTAATCAAGGGTTGGAGTCAGCGGGACCCATCATCGACGCACGGATGCTTTACTCACCGGAGGTAATTCCGCGCTTAGAACGCAGCTCATTCGCAGTCTGTGCGCGACGAGCAACGCTGCGCTGCTGAACCTGCTGAGCAGCCTGAGACGAGGAGCAGGCGTTCACACCCTGTTGGGCTCTGGCGGCCAAGGCATCGCGAAAGTGGATTTCGCGCTTGACGGCCTTCATGTCATGCTTCTCACCCGGGTGAGCGAAGGCCAAAGTGGCCGCACTGAGTGCAAAGAGCTTGGAGAAGTGCATGGTGATGGTGGTGGAAGAAGAGATAGGAAAGCTGGTTGTTGATTCTCTTTCTTCTGCCTCACGTAGACAGCAGTGGTCTTTATATCTCCTCCATTCTCGGTGTCAACGATGTTATAGATACGCTCCATATAGCCGCGTCATCTGGACCAGGGTGAGCCGTGTTGCTCTATCGATCTCATCAGGTTGTTGTCGAATTGATTGGGAGACGTAAGCTCAGGATCTCGGCGGCACCCGCAGCCCTAGAACGAGGGCCGAATTTTTGGCCGGTCAACGTCAGGGTCTTGGCGCCGCGTACCTGGGATCCGCAGCATCTCAGGGAAGCGAACCCTATTGAGAGGGTGATCGACGATCACCACGAATCAGCGTGCGCTTATTACTGTCACTGCTTCTGAAGACCCTATCAATTCAGGGATCGGGCAGACTCCGTTGGTCTGGGGTATTTTTAAAGCTTGGCTGGTGCTGTTGATGTATCGGGTTGCGAACCAAACAGCGTTGGCCGTTTCATTCTCGGTACTAAGTAGTAAGCGGAACTTATTCCTGACCCGCTTCCAACTCGAGCCGTCACTTCACTTTGTCTGCGCAAATGCCTTTTCTTGAGTACCTTTGTGCTGGTATGCAATATCTGTAGCATCCGATATGCTCAAATGTTTGGCGTTTCAGAATACATCGGCAGTTATGTGACAATATTCGGCTGCATGTTAAGTTGTCCGTACCGCAAGATAGAAAGAAATCTGAAGTTCTGTGGTTGCGCCTAGATCGAACTTAAGCTTGGTGATGCACGTTGCCAATGCAGAGGTCCTGGGTGGAAATGTGTAGTTCTTCAAATGCTTGCTGATTCTTCTCAAAACGGTAATGATTGCTGTTTTCGTGGCTCGGCCACAGCTTATTCGGTTAGTCATTTCTTGTCCTTCCCACTGCATTACGCACGAGTCACTCGTCATCACCGCTAACCTGCAGATTACCTCGCCTTTCCAGATACATGTCATGTATCTTCATGTTCCAGGCTGGATAACGAGCTTCAGGCACGAATCAGACACATCTACTATTTTGCGTGGTGATAAAGCCATCAAGCTAGGTGTCGAAGCGGCTTTCAGCATTTGAACAAGCATATCATCTATCAATTCCAATCGAATACTTCAGCGGTAAGCAAGGTGAGAGATTGTGTCCGGTCGCGGGATCTTGAGTGGAAGTTTCTAGAAGGACATGCCGTCTCCATGCCGTCTCCACGCCTGCAAAGCCGAGCGACATCCGATTTGCGCTTGATGAGCACAAGCACTTTGACCTCTGTTCTTTTGGTGACAACATTAGCTTCGCTCAAAGCCCGTACTATCGCACAATAAAAGTTTGCCTAGATGACAACAGCGTACACTCTGTCGGTGAGCTGCGGTTTTCTGCCTCGCAAAGGCCCCTTCCAATCCCTTCACTGCAGCCCTTATAACCCACGGAGATAAACAGCCGTTCAAGCGCCTTCTTGATTCTTCCGTAGGTATAATTCATATGAAGCCGTAACCTGTCGGGGCAGAGTGCGTCGGTCGACTAAATCTTGCTGCAGGGAAACTTTGAGCCTGAAACACTTTTGTGGTGGACCATCACACGCCCTCAAGATATTTGCTGGGAACAGACGATAGTTGCCCGTGGCGCACCAAGCCACTAGTTCGTCGTCGTCATATCCACGTGACATTAACGGGTCTGCGACACTCTGGAGTGCGAGGTCTGCTCTGGGCGGCGTTTGTCCCGTCATGTAAATGTCTCTCAGGCACGATTTCGTGATGTCTGTGTACTTCATGCCTGTGTGGACTTTCCTGCAGCGCACCCTCTGTAGTAGCTTGGCATTCTTGTCTCCGATGCCAATTAGGAAGATGGGTAGAGCATCAAAAAAGCTGAAGGTGAATGTGTTCAAACGGTAGAATATCAGTCGGGCTTCTTCATAAATCCGGCGATTCACGGCCATGATTGCCAGGGCATTCTTGGACGGATTATGTTGTAGCCAGGAAATGTAGTGATTATGGCTCCGATAATGATGAATAACAATCTCCTTGAAACAAAGCAGATGCTCGTAGACCATCAATCGCAGTTCTAGGTGATTAGCCATGCTTTTGTCGGTCAAAGTCACAGGAGGTACAAATGGTAGGAATCGGGAGTTCGTGCTTGTCGAAACACTTGGCAATAGCACTCCAACGACAGGGAAAAGGGGCGAAAATAGAGCTAACCTGTAGGAAGGCGAAGAAACGGAAAGGTCTTCTCGCGAATAAGCATACTCTCCTCGCTGAATTTGAAGGGCCATGCACGCCGCGGGCGGTAGGTCGCTCCTTTGAATTTGTACGTGAAGCCACAGTGGCGCTGATGAGCAACATGCTCGATGAACCGGCGGCGAGATTGAATGACCTTGGCACAGGTCCAGCATTTGTGTATCAGATAATCAGCAGCCTCGTAGCTTATTTGACGAGGCTGACGCAAAATCTGGGTGATCTCCGAGAAGTCATGGATGCCGTCGGCCGGAAGACGCCACTCGCCAACGTACTTCCGCAAGTGTTCGCGTAGCAGTCTATCACTCCAATAAATCTTTTGGCAGTATTGGCATTTCCTCTTACGCCAGGGCATGATAGATTCTTCAGATAAGTCCTGGGCTGGAAATTTGGATCCAAATTTGCGCAAGTATTTAGGTCATGAACAAAAGTTGTTTGTTTACGCGTGTGGGGTTGTACTGTACTACTTCAACCACGTGATTGACGCGGGGTGTGTTTGATCTCCTCTGCAGGACCTTTCTCTCTCTTCTGAACTCCTCACAACCGTCCACACGATGGCTGCACTACTCCAGGTGTTGACATTTAGCACTCATATTTCATATTACGGACATATTACGGACATATTACGCACATATTACGCACATATTACGCACACATAATCGATTGATATTCTCGGTAACCCATGGACGTCCTTTACCTGAGTGGTCCTAGTCATGAGAATGGCTGGCTGAGATGTTCAAGGCAACCGTGACTCGCGCACACACCCCTTCGTTTACGCGCGGATGGGGAGAATGTGGGCGTCAATTCAGCCAAGACAATTGGACATGCTGACAGCGTGGATCACCTGCAGCTCCAGATTCACAAGCCGGGGAATCCGCCCGCGAACGATCGGCAGTGCCTGAGCCCGAACTTGCATATTAGGATCCTGAACCCGCAGGTATGTGGCTTGCTGAGCCCTTTCCTGCACCCACAGCTGAGATCCCAGCGGGGAAAGACGAGCACATTGCAAGGATGATTTCTTCAGCTGCAATCAACGACATATTCAGGGGAATTATAACCGACCAGCTTGGCGTCCCCTCCCCATTATGCAACGCATGGCGATATAAGACTCGAGCGACTCCAGCCACCTTGAAACAAGAGTTGACTCCATACTCAACTCCTTTTTTACCTCTCATCTTGCCAGCAGAATGACTTCCGCAACCTCAATGGACTTCCACCTCGCCGATGGCCGAGCCTATTCCCTCGGCCGCAGCAACGCAGCCGCCTCTCGTCTGAATTACCAATTCTACCTGTGGAAAGAATCCTTCGGCTTCAACCTCCACCCCAACATCGCTGCGTCGCTCCCCACCCCCAATCCATGCATTGCCGACATAGCATCTGGAACAGCCATCTGGCTCCTCGACCTCGCCCCGGAGCTCCCCAACGCTACCTTCGAAGGCCTTGACATGAGCATGGCAGTGGCTCCGCCGCCCGAATGGCTTCCCAACAACATCACCCTCCGTCGATGGAACCTCCACGATAATGTCCCCGCCGACCTCGTCGAGAAGTTCGACGTCATCCACCTCCGCTTGCTGGTTCTGGTGGTGGAAAACAGCGATCCAACGCCAATCATCCGCAAGGTGTCCCGCATGCTCAAGCCGGGAGGCTGGATCCAGTGGGATGACTACAACTATCAGGGCACACACGTGGTCAAGGTTAACCCAGCCCAGAAGACACCGGCTCTGGAGCAGCTCTGCGCGTTTCTGTTTTCGGGCGGGCGGCAGGACTGGGTGGTGGAGCTTCCCCGCATTTATGAGAGGGAAGGATTTGAGAAGGCCCAGATCTTTCACTATCGGCCGCGACGGGAGATGGTGAGGGCGAATGGGGAGTTACATCTCTCCACGATTGAGGAGTTCGCGGCTAGGTTGCTGGAGGATGGGAAGGTGGAGGCGGGGAATGAGTTAATGGGGCTGGTGCGGCAAGGGCTTGTGGAGGCCGGGGCCGGGGCGGCCATGTCGACGCCTCGAGCGGTTAGTATTGGACGGAAGAAGGATCTGAACGGGGCGAAGTTGTAGACTTGGGTTGCGGCGCTTGAGGCATGTAGTTGGTTGTGTGCGGGATTTGCACACTGTAGGCAGAAGGCCACCTTTGATCGTGGTTTCAGGCAATAAGTGCGAGCCATACTGACTATCTGAAGTGATCATGACATGCGATATTTGTGCCATTTCCGAATCTCCCATAAGTTTGAATAAGAGCTGTCAAGATAGTGGAGGTGGAGTTGGATCATCTTCGTAGTGCGGGAGGGCACTGATGCCTGGGGCACCCGGTACCCGCGGGCGTTGCCGAGGTCCTGCCGGTCCTGACTAAGTGAGATCGTACTGTGTTCCATCCCGGCGTGTTCGGGCTTCCCTTCTACAACGCTTGACACCAATACCAATCCCCTGCTGCTCTGTTCGTCAAAGATCAGACAGTCTCTTTCTTAGTATCTTGAAAATGATACTATTCTGCCTACTTGAGAATACGTCGATAACCCCTTTCATCTTCTCTATGTTGACGGGAATGTCCAGCGAAGAGCTGGATGACACCGGCAGACGCAGCCGGAATTGTCGGCCAGTACCCGTCACTCATGTCGGCTGAACTCTTTTGGTCATATTGCTACTTAGCATCCACTCTACACAGTCGAACGCCTCTAAGAAAAGCTTCACATTCGAGCTCCAACACAAATGTACATCCTCCCGCTCCTGGTCACTCGCCAACACCAAGCTGCAAGCTACTCCACATTCATAGGCTCCGGTACGACCAGCGCCTTGTGCGTTTGCGGCACCACGGCACGAGCCACGAACAAGCCCTGCGGATCAGCGGTACGTCCGGCACGGATGGCAAAAAGCAAGATCAGAATATCTCGGGCCGCGCGGAGGCGGTCGTCCGGCTTGGAAAGGTCGTAGGGCGCCGTCACCTTCTGCACAATGACGTCTGTCCGATTAGACGACTCGGCAGGTTGGGTCACCCATTTTAAGTACTCCGTCGGGAAGCGTGCAGTGTGAATGCGAAGGTAGTAATGTTCGATGTGGAAGACGAAGGACTGTGGTAAGGAGCTTAGTTAACCATTAAAGCAAACCACAGATTGTGCGGGAGGTGCGTCTCGTGGGGAGGGGTTAGATGAGTGACGCTACGCACATCATGGTACTCAGCTCCTCTAGGGATCTTGTCTGGTTGACTCGACAGATCTGTCGGTAAGAGATTGCCTCCTGTGCCTGGGACCTTCTCGTTCAGATACTCCATGTTGAGAACAGCGGCCGACAGCAGCTCCGCGAAGATCTGCGCGGTGGGAAGGCCTTTACGTCGCATGCGCTTGGCCTATTTTTGCCTCGCTTGTCGGTTAGCTGCACAGGGCTTGAGAGACACAAATGTCAAGGGGATCCAAAAGACATGCCTCAAATCTTATAACCGGCTCCCCGCCGTGACGGCTTCTGTTGGGAGGGTTCACATCGGTAGCCGTTTCCTCGCTTTCTTCATGTCCAGTCGTACCACCGCGCGTGAGGTAGACATACCCGTCGTCTTCAATGGTGCACTTAGATTTTCCGACAACTGTTGTGACCACTGTACGGCGCGGGGTACTGGGAAAACGGCCGTTAGTGCTGAAGCGAGACCTATACAGGGGTGGACTGCCACCAGCAAACGTACCTGCGCCAATCATCCCGTTCGCCACGAAGGATGGAGAACAGCAGCAGGATAACCTCCATGAAGCGATGGAGAAGCCCCTCTGAGGTCGGCTCGTCTTTATCTTCGTCCTCGATGCGACTCTCGGATTCTTGAGTTGCATCCTTGTTCAGCTGCTTTTCAGCAATGACCGGGTTCCTTCGAGCCAGATTATCGCGCAGTGCAGTGAAGAAAAGACACCAGGGGTTGAACAGGTACCATGACATGTGCGTTTTGTTGAACTGGGCAAGGTCGTTGCGGCTGGGCACCGTGACTTCATTGAGAATGCGCTTGACGACTACCGGCCATTGTTGATTAGTTCATGATGGACCACGACGCCACAAAATAGGAAGATACCTTACTGTAGCACTTGTCTATATCGTTCATCACCTTGGCACAGTCAAAGCCGCGCGGAAGAATGATGCCCATATCCATGCCAAACAGTGGAATACAAGAAAGATCATTAAGTTGATTGAGACCCCACAAGGATCCGGACGGGCCTGCTGCGGTCTTGGGTTGCGGCTGGCCTTCTCTGTTGCCGCTATCAGAGCTTTCCTTGCATTCCTCGAAGCGCGCTGGATTGTTCTCAGACTCATTAACTTTGTTGATGCCTACCAAGGATCCGGACGGGCCTGCTGAGGTCTTGCGCGGTGACTGACGTTTCCTATTGTTTTTCTCTGATTCTGTTTTGAACTTCTTGGAGCCCTCTGAGAAGAGCTCAAGATCTTTGTCGACTGGATCGATTTCCTGGAAGGATTCAGACACGCGTTTTAGGTCCTGGACTGATGGCCGACCTTTTGGGTTGCTGCTGTCCGAATCTTTTGGGGTTTTCTTGAAGCCCTCTGAGATGCCCTCTCGCGTCATGGGCTTTTCCTTTTCTCCATACATAAGGAAGAAGTTATGGGGGGACAATACGCATTGCCAAGACGACGACTTCCACTTCTCGCCTCGGAGGCTGTTCGCTACTACTTTGTCGCCAAACCCTGCTTTCTCGCTATATTTCTTCTTCCAAGTGTCCCTTACCAGCGAGCTACCGTTCAATCGCTCAACGCTCTGTCGACCAACCCCTTCTGGCAGAGATTCTACGTCGATATTGAACCGAACGTTCTGATCGGCATACTTTGGGTCAGGGATCTTCGTCTTGGTGAGATAATCCGCAGGAGGCCTGACGTCTAATCAGCAGTGCTTGGCAATAGTATCACGACGAGAGGAAGTACCAATCCTTCACTATGTGATAATAGTGAGCATCCGGCAGCGGTCCGCTTTCAGTATTACCTGGCTGGAACGGCTGGCTTGAGAGCGGTGGGGGTGCATTGTTCCAGTAGGCCGAATCTGCAGGATCGATTTTGCCGGTATATGGCAGAACATTTTGAAGATTTTGCGTGTTTAATCCTTGCGAGATCGAGATAGGGTCGGATAGGTGATCAGGTTGATCCCGACTGTTGGGATCACCAATCCTGAGTCCAGGTTGCAGGTTGTTCACTGTGGCATTACCATTGCTGTTGCATGGCCTGGTACCTGACATTGTGACAGGTCTGCAGGGACTGTGAATGGTAGCAGTAGTTTTGGATGGATTCGTGGAACGGCAGGCGTTGGGGAATTTACATTAAGTGTCCATCCCCCATCCATAAAAGCTGCAGCTGGGACTTCGGACTTTTTGGGTCAAAAACAGCTTCCTCCACTTCCTTCGACGCGTGGTTCTAGTGCCTCCATGATGGCAGACAGTCCAGACACAGAGAGAGGCTTTGGCTTTGACCCGTTAATCCCTCGGGTGGTTCAGCAGGCCGCCAGCCGCGCCCCGATTCTTCTCCCCTGGCAGCCTCGCGTCTTGCCTCTGGGTACTTTCTTCCGATCAGCCGCCACTGCTAGTTCCTCCAACCCATTCGCGCCACAATCTGCATTTGATGCAGACTCTCTCTCCTCCATCCCGATCACGTTCAGCACCTCCGACGCGAGCGGTCGCTTCCGGTCGTCCGAGGGACTCAGCTCCTCTAGCTCGACTGATCATCTGAGCGTGGGCGTCGGAGTGGGGGTGGACCTGGTGTTCCTGGAGGCCAGCGTCTCAGTGCACTACGACCGCGATGTGTTGGAGAATCATGATGGGAACAAGGCCTCGGTGACTACCAGCTACCGAGCGGGGTCGGTGGCGTTCACTCGGCCGCCTGAACTGTCAGCAGAAGCATTCGGGGTGTTTATAGGCGACGAGGCCCACGGACGTCCAGGGGGAATCGACGACTTTCACGCTAAGTACGGCGACTACTACGTTAGCGGCTACCGCATCGGTGGCGACGCCTCCGTGCTCTTCACCACCCAAACTTCCACCCGCCACCTGACCGAAATCGAACGCGTCGATATCACCGTCGAGTCCTGCTTTGGTGACGAGCATGAACTTCGGGCCACCAGCTCCGTGAGCACGGAGCACGGAGCCGAGGTGCGCATGAGCGCCTATTCTACCATCGATCAGACGCTGATCCGGGAGACGGCGCGGGCGGGTTCCCCGAGGCTCGAGGCCCTGCTGCAACAAGGGCGTGCCATCCACCGCCGTGCCCAAACGCTGGAGGATCGCGTGGCGCAAAGGCTGCAAGAGGTTGGCGTGCAGAACGGCGGACGAGTAACCCCACAACAATGCATGCAGCTATGCGAACGCGCGCTGGTGGTGGAGCTGCTGCTAATGCCGGTCGAGTCTCTGCGCCAGGTACGCCAGTGGTCGATTACCAAAACTGCCCCCGGAGTCAGTTGACAAGACCGATTTGATTTAGATTGACCGACTTCTCTGTCTCAATTCATTGCTTTATTTTTTTTTATTCTATCTAATTCATTATCATAGCTTCATGGCTTCATTTTTACAGCCGATCGTGTTTGATTCTTGCTCGGACTTTCGGTGATCGACCGTCGGCAAGAAAAGCCAAGTTTAACACACAGCCCACATCGCCAGATGGACTAGTGATTACGATTATGAAGCCAGACCCAAACGACTACGTATACTCGTGGCCCCTCCCATACTACTAGCTTCAGCTGCCAAGTTCATGTGCCACAGACGGATCTAAAAAAGAGGCCCGAAGTCCTTGACCAGGGCCACTGGAGCACTTGACGCCCGCAAAGAACTGATTATCACTCAACATATCCATCATGGCCCTGCTGCTGGCCCCATACAACAATGGCATGCGCCTCGGTAAGATCCTTCCCAAATTTCCACCAGATCAAGCCAAAGACTGACAAACCCCAGGCCAAGGGTACAAGCTACAACCGCCCCTTAAGTTAGAGCTCCGGGTTTGACAATTTGACAGCTTTAACACCTATACGCAGCAAATCTGCATCGACGACGCGGTGGTGATCGACCCTGACCGTGTCGACAACGCCGTGACCAACGATGGCTTTACCATGCGCGAGCTGCGCTATGCGATCGGGGCACGCGCCGGGGACAATGACGACCAGGACGAGAGTGTCGACGAGTCGCCGCTGCAGCTGCCTCTCGCAACAGATGAGATTCTTCCATCTACTGCGCCAGACGAAGCGGCATCGGCAACCAAGCAGATGATTGGGCCCGCGCCCCCAACGGCCCTGGATAGCATGGCTATTCAACTCAGTCAGGACGTGAAGACGGTCACGAAGCTCGTCGAAGAGATCGCCGCCCTCGAGGCTAGCATCGAAGACGCACTCGATGTGGACAGCGCGGCCACCAAGCGCGACACGCTGCTCCTCGAGAAGAAGCGCATGCGTCTGGCCCGGTTGAAGACGACCGGGACGGGGCTGAAATCCGCCAACCCCCGCCACGCTGCGCGGGATCTGTCGCGTCGAGGTCCGAGTCAGATCGTTTCGTACAATTCGCGCTTCGTCAATAAGATTAGGTGAGTTGAAACTGATCCAGACGAGATATTAAAGGTCCCTGCAAGAGAAAACATACAGCTGAACTCTTTCAGTGAGATCACAGACGACATGAACATTTCCGGTTCTCTGTCGATTAAATACGGTGCCGTTGGCGGGTCCGGTAAGGGCTCTTTCGTCGACACCGACAAGTTCAAGGAAAGCGACCTGAACTTCTTCATCAGCGTCAAAGTCATCAACCAGAGCATCAACATCAAGGATGCCCTCGTCTTTCAGGGCCTCCCGTCCGTCAACGAAGACAACTTTCGAACCGTCTTCGGCGACGCGTTCATTTCGGGCTTCCTCGAGGGCGGCGAGTTCAACGCCCTGGTGAGCATGAAAGTCATCAACAAGGACAAGCGCATGTCGGTGAAGGCCGAGTAAGTCTAGTTTCCTCTCTTCTCCCTAGTGCAGAATGAAGACTAAGCAACTTCCTTGCTTAGAGCGGAGATTGCTCTAAGTGTTGGCGGGGCGGACATTCACGCCACAGCTGATGTGGGTATCGGCAAAACCAACTTCTCCTCCCAGACCGAGACCACGATTCAGGTTGGTTGGTCGGGTGGAGGACACATCAAACCCAGTGGGTGTTCTCTCAATTCTTGCATCTGAGCTCCTGACATACTGAGATTGCAATGCAGTGGATCAACCATGGACCATCCAGACTCTGATGGCGACAGCGGCCAAGTTCCCTGATCTGGTAGCCAATACTCCCCAGCGAACCTAGTAGGTCTCACAATCGTATAGGACTACTGGCATTCTGTGGGCCAGCGCTAACGGCCACAGTGCCATTCTTACCAAGTATGAGTCCCTGCGCAGTTTCATGGCGTTGAAGCCTCCCGCGCTCAAGCCACTGTTTTACGAAAACGCGGCCATCTATACCAACACCCTTCTGGATGCTTACATGGACTATAAGAATGTAAGACAACACCATTCCACTCACTTGTATAGTAATCCCCATGCTAAAAGCAAAAAAATAGGTCTATCGTACCCTTAGCACCTACCTGGCCGATATTCAGGCAGGGACTAAGAAGTTTGGAGAGGAGTGGCCCACGGGAACCGCGCTCGCGGACGCCACCACTCTGGGCAAGATGGACGACGAGTCACGGTTCCCACCAACTATCAAGGGACTGGACCTAGCACGGCGGGCCTGTCGGTTCCAAATGGTCAAAATTGTCAAGGAGGTGGACGCGATCGAGACGAAACCCGATCTGGCCGCCGATGAGACGCGGGAGGAAGCCTACCAGAGCCCGATAGTCTTCCGGGAACGGCTGCCCCTAGTAAAGGACAAGGAGAAGATGCCGCATCTCAAGATCTTCGGCACGGATGTGCCCTACCCCCCGTTGCTGGACCATGCTGATGGAGACGGGATGTCCGAGGATGAGGTGGCCAAGGCGGCCAGCTACAAAGCCGAACAACCCGATGTCAGCGAGTTCCAGCGCCTCGCCCCAATGGTCGGCTCGGCCACGGGCTCGCTCTTCTGCAATCTGGACTTTATCAAGCCCGATTTCAGTCTGCGGTCCGTCCGAGTGGCTGTTCATAATGGGGTAGTTGCTGGGCTCAGCGTGCGGTATGCGAATGGCCTGCTGGCCGCCATGGGGACGGTGGGCGGGGACCGCTTGCTGTCGCTGGACTTGAATGCCGAAGATGGCGAGAAGATTATCGCATGCTCTATTGAGACTGGCCGTGAGGAGTTCGACGACGACCCCAATGCCCCGACTCGCGTGACGGCCATCCGACTCTATACCAACCGCGGGCCGGATCTACTGGGCAACGCCGAGGACTGGAAGCCCGCTGTCAACGGCCGGGGTATCCGCGGCGGCGTCGCCTTCAAGGATCTTACCCTCACGCACTTTGACCCCCTGCTCGTCAACTCTCACGTCAAGGGTTTCTGGGGGTACGGCATTACGACAACCACCCTTAAGGCGGAAAGCGGACTGTACCGGCTCGCCCCGATCTGGGGCAATAAGGAAAGCATCACGCCGGCCGTCGGAGCCCCGGTTGACGACCGCGTCGTCGACCCGGCCAAGATCGTGACCGAGGCGCAGGAGCTCCGCTTCGCGGCCAACACCCACCGCAACTGGCAGGGCGGTAAACCCGGCGGCAGTGCCGTCTTCGAGTACCACTTCCCGAAGCCGCTGCCCATTGTCCCGACCATCCTCTACGGCCTGCGCTGCCTCGACGTGAACGGCGCCAACTCGCCACGGTTCGCGCTCGAGCTGCCGACGGTGTCCGAGTCCGGGTTCACGCTCGCACTCAAGACCTTCCTGCACCCGACGCTCAACATCGAGGCCAACGTTCTCGTCCTCCCGAACGGTAAGATCCCGTTCCAGCACGGCCTCGTCGACGCCAGCGACACGGCCGCCGGCCGCACCGCCGCCCAGAACGCCGCGGTGCAGGTCACCTTCGCGAAGCCGTTCGCCGACCCGGAGCCCAAGGTCTTCGCCTGGTTCACGGCGGTGTCACAGCCGCGCGGCCGCCGCAAGCTGACCACGTACATCACGGACGTGACCGCGCACGGCATGACGGTGCACATCGACACGGACGCTGGGTGCGAGTTCGAGTCCGCGCAGGTGGCCTGGTTGGCCTGGCCGCGCGAGGACGACGGCCGCGGCGTCCGCGCGGGCAACAGTGTCTGGCGCCGGGAGGATCCCGTCAGCGACGCCCCCTGGTATGGGGGCGGGTTCTCTCGCACCCCCAAGGTGTTCTGCGGCATCAATCATCTGGATTTCCCTGAGTGTCCGGACACGTGGCTGCGCGTGTTCGGGAAGCACGAGCAGGCGACCAAGGAGCGGTTGCGCTGGCACGCGGGCACCTGGCAGGATACCCCGATGAATGAGGTGGGAGTGTGCTGGATTGGACTTGAATGAGGTGGTATGATGGGTGGATTTTGGCAATGATTGGAATTTTCTTCTTCTTAACTATACTTTGGGCTTGAAGCTCTGCCTTGAATATACCCTCTCTGATTATATCGGTTGGCCACAAACCACTCCACTCCGATTTTCACTGACCGGGAGATGACAACATCATCATGCCAGGCACACGGCTGTAATCCCTTTTGGTTCCCAATGAACTAAGACAAGCTGCCGACACAGTTACATAGGATATGCTATCAACATGGAGGATTCCGCGCACACCCTCCAGCTTACCAGCCCTCTCCTTTTGCTGTTTGCGTCTTCCGCTTCAGGGAAGTCCAACCTCGGCGGTGGCGCTCATTGCCGCGGCGCCGCAGAAGGAAACCTTGCATCATGCATCAAGGAGAGTCATCAACATATCTAATTGGACTATGCCAGTTGCGCAAATTACCTCAGACAAGAGAAAACACTGAATTGAAACCATCCAGAGCCTCCAAGCCGTCCAGGCTCGGGATGTAACCCACCCCAACACAAGCACATCGCCGACCCACCACATCTTCACCCATCCCCACGGGGTATCCTGACCTGTCTTGCCAGGTTACATTGACAATTCCATGATTCGACCTCAACCACGGTTGGTCCACCACATCCCTGCCTAGACTGTGATCGCCCGGACAGGCGAGCCAACCACCGCTCCGAGATAAGGAAGCCATGTTTAACCTTCATCAGCCGTGGTTCCACCGCATAAACAAGCTTCAAGCTTCTGTCTCCGCGATCCATGTGGATCCTTGCCAATCTTACCGCCTGGTCATCTGCTGATGACGGCATGAAATTATTATAAAGTTATTCTGTAACAGTTGGTGGCTGTAGCCAGTCTTATGGACGCGACTGGTTGGCCTAGACCCTGCAATTCGAGTCGATTTGGGCGGGAGGTCTCTCTCGATCGCATGGATAATGTAATAAAAGGCCACTGCCATTCCCCCTCGCGTGGCCAGTCTTTCGAGTCGTGTCCGTTTTGTGGATGGCTAAAGCTTGACTGTCCATACAAATTACGGACGAGAAGGGGTTTCGGCCTGGAATTCGCCTGTTGATCGTCAGACTCTCTTCTCTTGCTATTTAGTCAGTCGAGGATCGACTCTGTCGTTCTCTGGCGACGTATCACCCAAAAGATCCCGCGATAGATCCCATGGAAAGTGGCCTTCACCATGGCCCTGGAAGAGATTTCAGAAAAGAAGGTCCTGAAGGACGGCAGTCCGACTACTCGAGTGGAGCACGCCGAGAAGGCAAGCGGCGCCCATGCGATCTACGACCTTGAGGGCCGCACCACCGGTCCGAGTCATCTCAGCGCGATCCTCGAGAACCCTCTCGCAGGTATCCCCCGCGAGAAGTTGTTGGATGACGTTGAAATGTTCTGTCGTGAACACGGTCTCGATGAACATCTGGAGGACTTCCGCAAGGGAGCACTGATCTCGCAAAACCCAGCAGGAGCACTCGATCTGCCTGAGCTGAGTGAGGATGACAAGAACACGCTCCGGCGCGAACAGACTCACAAATGGTCGCAGCCATGGCAGCTGTATTTTCTAGCCGGTGAGATGTTTCCGTATCCGTGTACTTGTCTTTTGGCTAATCTTGTCGTCTAGCTATGTGCTCCCTTGCTGCTGCTGTCCAGGGGATGGACGAGACTGTTAACAACGGCGCGCAGGCAATCTACTTGAAGGCAAGGCACTTTATCAACTAATACCAAGAGCAGCACTGACAGCTTGACAGCAACTCGGGATCAAGTCTCCCCGCTTCTCTCCGAAGATGCAAGACTACCTGACTGGCCTGGTCGTCGGCGCACCCTACCTCGCCTGCGCGACGGTCGGATGCTGGCTGACGGAGCCCATGAACCGATACCTTGCCCGTCGAGGTACGATCTTCTGGTCCTGCTTCATCGCCGCGGTCGCGTCCATCTGGGAAGGCGTCGCCAACTCCTGGGTCAACCTCTTCCTCGCCCGGTTTGTCTTAGGCTTGGGGATTGGGTCCAAATCTTCGACGGTGCCCGTCTACGCGGCCGAATGCTCGCCCGCGCCCATCCGCGGCGCCCTGGTCATGATGTGGCAGATGTGGACGGCGTTCGGGATCATGCTGGGCAACATCATGGGGGTGGCCTTCATGGGCCTCTCCGACGACCTCTCGTGGCGTCTCATGCTGGGCTCCACCGTCGTGCTGCCCATCATCGTCTGCGCACAGGTCTACCTGTGCCCCGAATCCCCGCGCTGGCTCCTCCAGCACGACCGCATCGACCAGGCCTTCCGCGCGTTCCGCACGCTCCGCCCGACCTCCCTCCAAGCCGCGCGCGACCTCTACTACGCTCACGTGCAGGTCCAGCTGGAGCGGCAGGTCAACACAGGGCGCAACTTCTTCAGCATGTTCCTGGAGCTCTTCACGGTCCCGCGCAACCGCCGCGCCACGCTGGCCAGCTGGATCGTGATGTTCATGCAGCAATTCTGCGGCGTCAACGTGATCGCGTACTTCAGCTCGACCATCTTCCTAGACGCGGGGTACTCGATCCAACAGGCCCTGCTCGCGTCCATGGGCACCGGCATCCTGAACTGGGTCTTCGCGCTCCCGGCCTTCTTCACCATCGACACCTGGGGCCGCCGCAATTTGCTGCTGTTCACCTTTCCCTTCCTCGCCCTCTGCCTGCTCTGGTGCGGCTTCTCCTTCTGGATCGAGCCCGACAACCCCAGCAGCCGCGCCCGCGTCGCCATGGTCACGACGGGCATGTACCTGTTCGAGGTCTTCTACTCGCCCGGCGAGGGGCCGGTGCCCTTTACCTATTCAGCGGAAGCATTTCCCCTGCAAGTCCGCGAGGTGGGGATGTCCTTCGCGACGGCGACGACCTGGTGCTTCAATTTCATTCTGTCGTTCACGTGGCCCTTGCTATTGAGTTCATTCAAGCCCCAGGGCGCGTTCGGATGGTACGCCGCCTGGTGCGTGGTCGGATGGGTGCTCGTCCTGTTGTTCGTGCCGGAGACAAAGGGTGAGTCTGCCTGCCTGCCTGCCGCTTTCCCATGGATTGACCCCTCTCTTTAAACAAATCCCTCCTCTGTTCTCGAATCTCATGCTTCGCAAGTTGGAAGCGTCTATACTAACCCAGATCTGGCTGTAGAACTCACCCTCGAGGAGCTCGACCAGGTCTTCTCCGTCTCCACCCGCAAGCATGCCCGCTACCAGCTCGACAACGCCTGGTGGCACTTCCGGGTCTGGATCCTGCGGCGCAAGCTCGCGCCGCTGCCCAAGTTCTACGAGGGGGCGGAGCGGTTGGCGGAGAGGGTGCACTAGCTGGGCGGCAGGGTGCTGTAGTTTCCGGGGCCTGGGTCGTGGGAGATGTGGTGCGCGAGGCATGTATGTACTGTACTGGTTTGCTATGTAATGTTTCAAACATAACATTTGATTGTATAGGATGGTGAAGGCATATTGGACAGCCTTGATACTGCGCATACCATATACAGCACACCTAAACCCCCAAGAACAGAAAGAGAGCAAAGATGGGGAACGAGCGGGCAGCCGCCGGGGAAAAGAAAAAGCAAAAAGAGGAATCACGTGCTCACACTCGGACTCGAACCGAGGATCTCAGCATTACTAGTGCTGCGCTTTACCATCTAAGCCATGCGAGCGGTGGATACTTTTTCTTCTCATCATAGTTCTTCTAACCCAACGATCGAAGGAAAAAGCTATCGAAGGAAAAAGCTAATTATTCTCGGGTCTATGGCTATCCACATGGGTCTGGTGATCGAATCCGAACCGATAATCTAAAGCGCCTCGACAGCTCAATTTAGCCTGGGAGTCCGGTTTCTTGCAGTAGGATTTCTATGATCTTGTGAATCATTGTTGTGATTTGCGAGTTTGAGGGGATATTGTTTGTAAGGTGGAGTGTGGAATATGTAAAGGAGCGAATTATATATACCGCAGCAGAGACCGATCCGTGGCTCATCATCGATTCTATAGTCAGTTACGGGGTTCTTTCATAGATAGGCGAGTATATGACAACCAGCAGAGAAACGAAAGCCTCAAGCAAGTCTCCTGAAAGGAAAGGGGGGTCTGGGGGTTCTCCCCCAGAACGCCCACCCGGCCCAAGTCTCCAAGAATAACAAGTATCCTGGGGGAGAACCCCCAGACCCCCCTTTCTTTCAAACAAAAACGCCCCGCAAAGCAAGCCCAAGCCCCACCCCTTCCCTAAACACCCCCCTCAGCACCCACCGGGAACGGCACCTCCAGGTGCGGTCCCCCCAGATGGGCCAGGGTATACCCCAACACGGGCGGGGCGCCCTCCTTCCGCACGACCGAGACATCAGCGACCAGCGCCTCGGGTGGAATGACCCCCGTGCGCGGATCGCGGCGGGCCTCCTCCAGCTCCACGGCGCCCTCGACGAGCGCGACAAAGGTGCTGGTGTGGTGGGGGCCCTCGAAATGGGGCCAGCGGCGGAGGAGCTGCACGGCGCAGCGGCGGGTCGGCAGGTCGCGGCATTTCAGGGCGATCCAGGTGAGCGGGAGGATGACGACCATGTCCATGACGAGGGTGGGGAGGTTGCGCGGGCCGAATTCGGCCTCGAGGCTGGCGATCGTGGCCGCGCCGAATCCGAGGGCCTCCGTGAGGTCCGCGGCGAATTCGGCCCACACGTCCTCAGACAGTCGGAGCGCGCGGTAGGTGTGGGTTCGGATGATGCGGTGCTGCATCTGGATCAGGTTCATGCAGCGGGTTTGCTTGGGGGTCGGGCAGGGCAGTCGGGTGGTCGCTAGCTCGGTGAAGGCGGCGATGTGCTCTTCGAGTTGGAACGCGAGCTTGCGCTGCGCGATGAGGATGGGGAAGATGTCCGGGGTTGGGTCTTGCAGGGCGCGCTGGACGAGGGTCAGGTAGCTCAGGGCGTTGTCGGAGATCGGGTCGAGCTCGCGCCAGGCCTCGTCCAGGGTGCGGAAGCGCAGAGGCTGCTGGTGGTCGCCCCGTACCCTGTTGGCGTCTCTTTGGCGCGATACGTAGCGGTGCACTTGGATCTGAATGTCGAGGTGCGCGATGGCTGCTAGGAGGGCCATTTGCGGCGTCATGGCCGGCGACCGGTCGGCGTGGTGGTAGTCTTGCAGTTTATCGTGGACGATCGCGCGGGCGGCGTCTCCCCTTTCGCCGCCGGACAGGATTTGGAGTCCATTGGTGAGATGGGCGCAGGCGTTCTCGTTGTTGCCCTGGAGGACTTCGAGGTAGGTGAACACAACGCAGCAGACGAGTGCAATCACGGAAACGTGTGGATCCTGTGATGTCAAACGGCGGCGAAGGGTGGACAGTGCGCGACCGTATTGCTCGATAGCGAAACGATGGTGTTGAGTCCGATGATTGAATGCCCGGCTTCGAGACATGCCATTCGTCTCGGAGCTTGCATGCATGGCACTCAGTGAGACCAGGGCATGTCCGACCGCTGGCTCGGCCTGACTTAACTGCAGTGCGAGACGCCGCCAGACCTCCCATTCGAAAAAGCTGACCAGCATGGGCATGGTGCGAGTCTGGAAGAAGTTGATGCACCGGCGCTCATCGGAGCTCATGCCGGGGAAGTTGATATCGATGATGTGAATGGACGGGGTATAGAATTGGCCCTTTTTGGCGACGATCGGGAGGCGGGCCGTCTCGTACCCATCGCATGTCCGGCCCGTCGAGCTGCAGTTCTTGCACGATCCTAGCGTCTCGTCGCATTTTATCCTTCTGGTTTTGCAGGTTTGACATCCTGTGCGGGAGCGACGAGTATACGTCCTCTGTCGGGGTGGCCGGTTCATCACTTTTGCTGCCTGTAAGCTTGCGGATTATAAAGAAGGTTGAAAGAAACCGGCTGTGCTTCCGACCAAAAGTCGGCGCAGTTTTAGTGCATAAGTCCGTCTCTTTTAGATCACCATATCCAGCGCTATTGGCTCAGGATGTCAGACCCCTGCCCTGCTCACTTGGCATAATACGATCGGAGATTTGACAACATGCTGTGGATTGGCCCATTGGCCAGCTCTAAGCAACAATATTAGATTGAATAGAACGGAGCTGGATTTTCTTTGGCCGTTCGTTGGCGGAAAGCTTGTGCCTAAGTCGCTATTCGATATCTACCATTAACTCAATCAGCACCAGTTGCAGACGAAGATTGCCAATTCCTTCCGGTACCGCCTAGGCATGCTTAGTGTGAATTGTTGGGATTCCAAATGGGCTTGGGCAGTAGATTTGATCAGCAATACAATTCACTGGCAGCCAATCGATCTCCGATCCTTGACTGACATGACTCATAACCCAAAATGCTATTCCATAGCGTGAGGCCGCGGGCAGGCTACGGTCCAAGCATAATGGATGTTGTAATAGAGTCGACTTCCCAGAAACAAACCAAAACGGGAGTCAACTCTGTGCAAGTACCACTCCTAAGATACCGGTCAATGTCTCAAGGTCAATGTTTCAAGGCGGGAAAGCCTCAGCCATCATATCTGTCCAAGTTTTCCATGGTAAGCTGATTGATCATCGAATGGTCTTGCTCAATCTGTGCCTTTCGGTCTGCGAATGAACGGCTCAGCTCTCTCAGAGATGTGCCAAACTCATATGCTTGCGTATCCTGCTCTGACGTTACTAAATTTGCATCAAGACACGTAGCGTGGAGGCAACATACCGAGATAAAGGAAGCCAAACATTCCAAGTCTTTCGACGCTTCGTCAGTCGACCCCATCTGTACCAGTGCCTCAAGCCAGCAGATAACATGATTCTTGACAAAGAGAGAGACAGGGTCGCCAGGGTGAACTTCCGCTCCGCTGCTCTTAAGATGCCTCACCCAGTAACGGCAGGCGTAGCGCGCTGCGGGTGACCATTCCCACACAGTGCAAGCATCTTCTGTGTCGACCATGTGATCACGTTGATCTGAGCTCAAGTTTCCCGTTTCATTCTGGCTTCGCTCAAAGACGCCTGAAAGTAACTTTAAGCAACCGTGCAGAGCGTCGTAGTGAGCCTGTTTTGGGTCCACGAGGAACCTCTCGTCGGTACATCTTGTGGGACTCGTGAAAAAGGACCTCAGGTGTGGATGATGCAGACGGATCAATGATTCCTTGTTGTGTCTGTCATCTGAAATATCCATGATTGGTTGTAAATTCCTCAAAACCTCATGGACGTCGATGCCATCCGCCCCAGACCCATCTCCTTCTAGGCCGATTAGTTCATAGAACGAAGCGGGAGCTATTTCCCCGAACAGCACCACTATGACGCCTAGGTAACGTCGCAGCAAGCCATAGTATATGCTGCTCTCTTCACTGCTCAGGTTTGATGGCATTGCATCGCTCAGAGTGCCAAGATACATGTCATCAAATTGAGCTTCGATGGGCGAAACCGTGGCTCCAGAATCTAGCAGCATCGATAATCTTCGGCCACATAGCCCAGGAACTTCTCGGATATACCTAGTAGCCATTGTCGCCCAGAGAAAGTTACCTCCGATTCTGTCAACCAGCTGTTGAAGGCTATCTCCCTCTTCCCAGTTTGTGTTCAGCTGCTGTAGCTCTCGTTGAAAGAAAAGCGAAATATCCTGATCAATGATTTCCCTAGGGATATCTGGCAGCTCAAAAGCACGGAACCGACCATCGTGTTCGCTTCGTCTGTGGAAAGATATGGTGGGTGTCATCCTACTACTTATAAAGACTCGTACACCAGCCGAACTGATATCCCCAAGCAAGCGAATGACGATACCCATCTCAGAAGTCTCGCAATTGTCAAGAGCATCGACAATGAGCACAATCGGTTGTCCGTTCAAAATAGACCGAGCTCTTGATATGGATCTCAAGATCAACTTTTGGCACTGATCCCCAAGCGACTTGATGCAGATATTAGGGTCTTTGACCATCGCTTCGGAGATTAAAGAAATGAGGACTGGGAATTCACTGGAAAGCTGATAAGCAATAGTTGTAATGAACTCGCGTGCGCTACGCTTGCCGCCGCCTGGAACTTTATCGAAAAAGAAGGTTGCCCCGAGACGGCCTTGAGCTCCCCAAGTATGAGCAACCGTTCGAGCTATTGTCGACTTGCCTATCCCTGCCCAACCAGTCAGCCAGTATATCATATTGCTGTTCTGGCTATCGGCCCATGCGGAAATGTCTTTGAGAACGGCCGTCCGAGTCCCTTCGAGACATAAGGGGTCATGTTGTCTATCATAGTGGTTGTAAACCGTCTCTGAAATACAGGGAAGCCTGTCGAAAAGAGCTGGTCCGCTTCTATCATTTGTCAGTGAAGCCTTGGATGTAGGGGTGTCCAGACGTACCGCAGAGATTTCATAGTGGCCTTTTCCTCAGCTGTTTCGATTTGCAAATATGCTTGTTGATTGAGTCCCATGATCTCGTCATAATATAAGACGCGAGATTCTGCTACTGATCTTTGCTGTAATGGTGTCATTCCTTCATCCTGCTCTATAGAGCTCTCATATAGATCTAGAACAGCCCGTGCACAGGCCGCAGCAGCGGCTGCGGCATGCTTTTGCCACTTCTTGTTCTTGTGACTATCTGCGTAGTCGCATACACCCTTGACAATGAGGCATGGCAAATAGTCCCAAGCCCCTGCCCCTTCCATCTCAAAAGCAATAACTTTCTTGGTCTTTGCAACTCTGTCACGGTGCTGGCCGGATTTTAAGACTTGATCTCCAGATGCAACGGGGCCAAAATGAAGCATTAGTGTCGTGGTACTTTCATCGCGACCCCGAGGAATCAAATACTCAGGCTCGCAGCCGAGCTGGTCACACGAGGAGTGCTTTGCAATAGTGCAAGACTTCCCCGGCTGGACGCAGTCGCAGTCGTGCGGGTCACGGTGCTTGTGAATATAGTCCGGCCGGAAAAGCTGGTCTTCCGTGTCCCCGGGATACCGCGACTGTGCAAACCCTGGCTTCTGGAGCAAGCAGTCCAGATGTCTGCATGTTATCTTCTCGAGGTCCGTCTTCTGATCCTCAAGCTTGGCCAACAACGATCGCACTACCGACGTAGGTCTTCCAAAATCTGGTTGCTCGGTGATTTCTGGCCCTGGGCCATATGGGTGGAAGATGGCATCCTCGGCCGGTACAATGTTCTTGCTGATCACAACATCGCCAAGCAGAATTTGACCTTGGGCTTGCGGGACCCCACCACAGATTCCGACAATCAGAACAAGCTTCAGCTCGGTAAAGCTTGCTTGTAAGCCCGCTGCTGTTGCTGCTGCATTCACCTTGCCCATTCCCGGCATGTGTGCGAGAACGACCCTGTGATTTGCAATCTTGCCAGTGGTATAAGAGTTCATATCCATTGGAGCTTTGATGAAAGTTCTGGCTGCATAGGTCTCCGCATCTTCGCCATCGATATGACCGAATATCCCTCTGATAGCGTGTGCTTCTAGGGGCAAGGCAGCGAGAATCCCAATCTTGAATTGTGGGTTCCGAGCATTTGGATTCGAGAGCATTGTAGCGACCGCCAAGGGGAGATATGTGCTTCGCAATACCACGACAAACACTATATCCAATACTCTGATCCCTGGAAAAAAAACATAGGTTTGAGAGATCGGCCTCCATGGCAGTGGATGATGTCTTTATAAGGATTTTTAGAAATTAAAGCGGTTGATGTGCAAGGCTGGTGTTGCATCTATCCCACTAGGCGCTTATTCCTGGCTTGTGACAGGCGAGTTGAGTGGAGCATGTCCGAGAGACCATGGCTATAAGTTTGAGCTTTAGCGTAAGTTAACCATCGATCCGATGAAGGATAATTGGAGAAGTACCGTACCGTCATGTACTGTACTTTAGCAAATTTCTGATCTGACCCCTGACGACCCTTTGGGCTCTCCCGCTCCCGTCTTTATCCCCAATGGACAAATCGATCTCTGATGAGCCACTAAAGATACACGCAACCCGGCCCCTCATATCTTTTGTTCTCTCTGTGAAGTAATCCCGAAAGGCATCGCCGTCTTAGGTGTTATTCTTCTACCACCTCCCTACCCTGTTCTTGGGTGACTTCTTCATCCTCGGGCCACAATGCCATCCGATGCCTTTCGTAATAATAACTCAGACGATGATTCCGATTCCGCAATCATGCATGATACATCCGAGTACAACTTTGAACTCGAATATCATCCAGATGAGCTACATTTGATCATCAAGCGCAACGACACGCTCGGGCTGCTCCGCTACAACGAACGAGCAAAAGAGCGTGGGGATGATACTTTCAGCCGGGTGGAAGTAAGCCTTTTCGGCTACTACCCGTTGCCGTCATTCTATTCCACGGCGGATCATGGAAGTCTTGACGCTTTACGCGCCTTGATCAATCTCTACCAGTCCGACTTTGCGCATTCTCAACAGCCGCTGGAAAAGTATCTGCAGGGAATGGACTTTCGAATGCTCAACCTCGCCTGCGGCAACGCCGATCGGGAGATGACACGGTTCCTGCTCGACCATCAGCCACCCCTGGGCGCGTGGCGGGATCGGGACGCCAAGGGGGCGGCACCGCTGGTCTGTGCCGCACAAGCTTTTCCCGGTAATGTGCAGGCTTTGCAGAGAAAGATGAAGGACACAAGTCCCGCGAGGATCCGGGAGAAGTTGCGAGAGCACCACGCTCGCTATGGCGAGTTTATCGAGTTCTGTTTGGGCGGTGGTGCTTCGATCCGCGAGTCGGATCAATACATGCTTCCCTATCAACTTGGACGGCAAGCCCAGCCTGGCGACCAGGAGATACTGGGGGACACTGTGCTGGGCAATGTGGTCACCCGCGCCAGCTATGCAATGGTATCCCGCTTGATCGCGGCAGGCGCCGATGCGCATGTCGTGCAGACGTGGTATGATCCCTGTGGCTTTGGTCATGGCTTGCGGTGCAGCGGGGTCACACCGTTGCATATCGCCAGCCAATACTGGAATCTAGACGCGATACAAGCGCTAGTGGAACACCGCGGTCGAATCGGACTGACCGAAATGGTGACGAGAAGGGATGACAACGGATTGCCACCACTCCATTGGGCGTTAATGGGCGACAAGGACGAAATAGCCACCTTGACTCCTTCGGAAGTGACCTCGCGCCTGTTGCGCACTGTGAAATTGCTTGACATTGGGCCTGCGATGGTCAATGTGAAGGATCAAGCAAACAAGACAGTGCTGCACTATGCGATTAACAGTCATGTGGGGGATGCCGACTGTCTCGCAGCAGTGAAATTGCTTCTGGAGTACCGACCCGACCGGGACATTCTGAACGCCCGGGACACCGACGCGGACAGACCGGGCTCAACTGTTTTGCATTACGCTGTATCACATCGCACAGATGACGGCGTCCGGTGTGAAATCTTTTTGCAGCTGCTTAATGTTCTAGTTATGCATGGGGCAGATCCGAGCATGTGCGATGAGTCTAGTCGAACCATGTTGTACAGATTGGCCATGAGAGAGAGACAGCAGTATCAGGCTAATTGATGCTGAGACCTTGGAGAAGATCCTGACACTGGTCAACATCAACAATTCCGATGTGAACGGCGATACCGCACTGCATTATATTGCGAGGAGACTTCCTCAAACCCACGCAGTTCGTATACTGCTCAACCAGGGTGCGAACGTTAACGCAGTCAACAAGAAGGGAAATACCCCGCTACATCTAGCTGTTGGGGCAAGTATCTTTCCTAGGGGACGACGGATGGATGACGGTTTGTGGAAACTCCGCTTGAAGAAGGGTTTAAGGCGCTCGAGAAGATGATTGAGATTCTCCAGGACGCTGGGGCGTCCATGGATCAAGCCAACCTTGCAGGGGAAACACCGCGTGAGAGAAAGAGACCAAAGAACGATGGGCGCGGGGAGATTTTAGTTCTCGCTGGAGATAGCATCGCCTCGGCCTAAAGAATAGCAACCATATTTATGGAAGATGATCAGGTTTAGTCTTTTTCCAAGGACCAGAAATAAAAGAGTGGAGAAGAGGAACCGGTCAAGAGAAGAAAGTGGTACAGTAGATCTCCGTAGAGAAGGCGGCAATGAATTCATCCCCGGCGGGGCAGAATCCCCCAAATCCCCCCACATGCGGGCTTCTAGACCATTACCTCATGCACGCCTATAAGTTTAATTGCTGCTGCTGCTGCTGCTGCTGCTGCTGCCTACCGCCAACTCCCCCTCAATCTCAGTATCTGTACAAACTACAAACCTGAACACAACACAACACAACACAACACAACACAACACCACACAACACCGATTACACACACAATGCCTCCCCCGAAGACCCAACTCCCCGAAGGCGGCAAGACCCTAGTCTACTCCACGGTAGACGGCCACGACATCAAACTAGACTACTACCTACCGCGCAACACGACGAGCGGCCACCTGCCCGCGATCATCTACTACCACGGGGGCGGCATGACCGCCGGCTCGCGGCGCGGCGGCCACTTCCCGACCTGGCTCTACGGTGCGCCCATCCCTCCCTCAGCTCCTCAGTCCTCAGCCCCCGAATCACCCAACTAACCCACCCCCCGGGCATGAAACCACAGACCACTGCCAAAAAAACACCTACATCTTCATCTCCGCCGACTACCGCCTGTGCCACCCGAGCACGGCCCTAGACCAAATCGCCGACGCCCAAGCCCTATTCCGGTTCCTCGCCAGCCCAACCTTCCAATCCGCCCTCCCATCCCCCTCCCTCACGCTGGACACAACCAAGATAGCCGTAACCGGCTTCTCAGCCGGCGCCTACTCCGCCCGCGCCGCGTGCGTCTACGCCGTCCCGAAACCCGCCGTGCTGATGACGGCCTACGGCACCGGCGGCAACCTCCTGCTAGACCACTGGACGCAGCCGCGGCCGCCGACCTCGATCGCCAAGCTGGTCGACCTGGACGACGTGCCGCGCCTGCTGGCGGACCGGACGGTCGTGAGCGACGATGTCGACCGGGACTCGAACCGGTTTGCGCTGACGGTGCGGTGGGAGATCGACGGGACGTTTTTGGACGGGGTGTTTGGACGGCCCGGATTGGGGGCCGCGCTGAACAAGGTGGAGTACGCGAGGAGGACGGAGGCGGTGCCGGAGGAGTTGCGGGCGGGGTTCTTGCAGAATTACGTGGGCCAGGGGTATCCCCCTGCCGTCTTTGTGCATGGCACGGCGGATGAGGTCGTGCCTGACCTGGAGAGTAAGTTTCAGCATGAGCAGTTGGGTCAGTTGGGGATCCGGACGGAGTTGTTGCTCGTGCAGGATGCCGGCCATGGGTTGGTGGATTTGAAGTCCGGGTTTCCGCCCAAGATGGCGGACGGGGCGATGGAGGCCTATGCTGAGGCGTTGAAGTTTGTGGATGCGGCGCTTGCGGGGAAGATGTAGGGATGGTTTGCGGGGACAGGGGTGTGTCTAGAGTGGGATCTAGAATAGATGTAGAGTAGAGATGGCGCGGATTTGTGACACTTACGGTTCCTGGGATAGGCATCGTTCTATCGTATCATTACACCATTATATACATCACGCAGTCTGCACGTCTATACACGATTGTTTCTATCTTGCTGATCAGCTCTTCTGGGGTGTGATCCTCTTCTCTTCTTCGCGATTCACCAATTCTCCGGACGGCGCAGTGGCATATTTCAGCACTCTCTGCACCGTCGTCAACGCCCTACGCGAATGGTCTAAGGGCGAGCCCCGCCAACAACGTTGTAGCGAATTTGGGCCAACAGCGATGTAACGCCGTCCTTTCCGAGCTTGTAATAGATGAGTCCGCCCAGAGCGATCGCGTAGCCGAAGAACTGAAGGGGCGTGACCGGATCGCGGAAAATGACCATCGATGCCACAACAAGCAAGATATCCTTGAGAACGCCGGACAGCGTGAGCACGAGAGCAGAGGTTTTGCCGATCTGCAACAATCACATTAGCCAGATTCTCCACCGGAGGTTCATGCCGACATACCAGGAAGACGACAGCAACATTGAGGCCAAAAGCAACAGCGGCGTTCAAGAAAAGAGTGCCAACTCCAAGGCTATAGATGTCGGACATGTGCATGGTCGGCAGCTCCACGACCGCAGTGATAACGCCGTTCATAATAGCGCAAGCGGGCGCGAAATAGTAGAGAGAAACCAAGGGGTCCATCTTGAACTCGGCGGAGCTGAGGAGGCGCTGGACCATGACCAGGCGAACGGATTCGAAGATGGTGGCGAAGAATTGGCCTGCGACAAGATGAGCACGCACTTGAATACTGTGAGGACATAGAGCACATACAGATGAAGCCGATCATGGTGAACTTGATCTCGCCGATCGAGGCGATGATGACACCGATGACGATGAAGGAGATGTTGCCGAGCAAGCTCAGACGCACTGGCGCAATGCCCATAGCCCAGGTCGCGAGGAGAGTCGCAACGGAGTTAGTGGCCTGGAACAATTAGCATCCCCGCTCAGTGGAATGGTTTCAATGCGATTACCTTGAGCATCTGGATGAAGGAAACACTGAGGTACAGGTAGGCCAGGTTGCCGCAGATCAGACTCAGCGAGAAGAAAGCACCGATGGGCACGATAGCGCGCCTAAGACCATTCTAATCAGCGACCGTGTATATTCAACGCAAGAGAGACGAACATGTAAACGCGCGAGGTCATGGGCACATTGTGACGGGAGTCGAGCAGGGTCGTGAACCGCGCCATCAGGCGGGTCATGATGGTAGCGAACACCAAGTGCCATGTTGTCAAGAACAGGGCTGGAGCAACGTATTGTCAGTTCTGGAGGCATTCGACAACGGTGTTGAGACACGGATCGACGTACGGAAACCTGGTGAAAAAGATCGCGATTAGCATGATTCCCAACAATCCAAGCACACGTCGCGATACTCACTGAATCCAGCAGTGTGCAAAATCCACTTGTTGAAGATAATAACACCCGAGCTGAGCGCAATCCACGTTCTAGCGCTGTATTAGTCTGAGTCCGAGTCGGAGAGAGCAAGTCAACCGTACGCGATGTAGAAGGCCGGGTGCAAAGCCGCTTTCGCGGGCTCCGCGGGGGTGTTGACCGTGGGCAATGGTGATTTCGAAGACATGACGGGAGGCGGTGGGAGATAGTCGATAGTCGAGGAATCGAGAATCGGAGGTGTCGAAGAGGAAGAGGAAGAGGGAGAGAGACGAACCAAAGCCGATTCAGCAGAAGACCGTGCTGCTGGATAAGGAGAAAAAGAAAGAGACGGAGAGCGAAGAGGGGGTGAAGAAACATAAAAACAAAAGTGACGGAGGGAGCGAGTGAAAAGTGGAGCCGCGCCGACCGATCGGCCAGCCGGTCGGTCCCTGGCAGGCTGTGGCAGGCTGTGGCAGCTCCAACGACACGCGGCCCTACGGTTCCAGCCGCGCCCCTCCACGTAATCGCCTCCATCGCATCAGAAACCTGTCCGATGGCGTTGAGCCTTTCTCCGGTTGGCTCGTGCAAAGATACTGTGTATCCAATGAATTGCTCAAGATGAGAGTCCAAGTCTCCAGCCATTCCACCCTCTGTGCGTTTCATCTCCCAACCCCTTCCAGGGTCTGCGCTAACCTCCGCGAAAATGAGCCTTATCGATAGACAGCCTTCGAAGCAAGGTCTGGCCCTGCCTCATGTCTCCGAAAACACCTTTCTACCTTCTATCTGTTACACCGCGGTGAAACTCCCGTTCGTCTGAAACAAATGTTGAGCTGAACCATCGCGCCGGGTGGAACGGTTACCCAACCGGCAGCAGAGAAAATTCTGCTTGTTACAGATCTGCCGAGATTTGTCACAAACCCCACATACCACCCTTCATCCATTCGCGAAGTCGGAGACAGTCAAGCTTTACTTTATTTATAATTGATCCTTGGCAGGAAGCCTGCCGCTTGCCATCTTTGTATGACTAGATAAAAGTGGTGGGATAGTCCGCTCGCCGTTCCTTCGACAGCACACCACACAGCCGACCAAGCAGCGTCTGTCTGTCCAAGGAACTGCGCATGAGATTTGACGGTAGGACAGGGATATTAGAGTTTCAGTGACACAAAACGTCCAACAACCTCTTCTCCTTGCGACGGCCCGACACCCGGGCCACAGCTCGTTCGAGAGCCGCAGGCAGTCGTCATCAGCAGCCGACTTTGGCAATCTGTAGGCGCCCACGTTTCACTGATTGCTGACCAAAGACTCCGGATTTGAGTTATCCTTGAATGGTTGTCCATTCTCATATGAAGACGGTCAAAGATGATCATACTCAGAACACTTCACAGGATACTGCTGTCAGGTTGAGTTTCTCAGACGCTTCCATATTTTATTCTTCGGAGCAGTGAGAGAAAGCAATCTTGCTATTATCTCTACTAGGCGCTGTGCCGTGCGTTTGTTACCATGTAATGTATTATGATAGTATCCCAAACAAAACACCAAACCACGTCCTCTTCTGTCCCCAAGAAATCAACCCAAGAGTCCACTCATCCCAAACCATAACCATACATTTTGATCAGTCATCTCTCATGAAAGGCGCTATAACGTGCAGATAAAAGGTGCGCATTGGTAAATTGCGGCATCAATGACGGGTCGCCATTCCTCGCATCACTGTCTTGAGATTAGCATGGTGACAAAAACTGCGAGGTCTTCGCACAGAGATGATCATTGGATCGTCCTGGTGGTACTTACTGTATCGCACAGAATTGAAATCAATCTCTTCTTGATCTCGACTGTTGTCTTTACTCGACGGCTGTTCGTCTTTTCGAGGAGCTAGGGTAGTGGCATCGCTGAGCACCGAAGCAGAATCGTCATGCGCATGTTCTTTTGAGGGCGTGTTGTCTGTGGATTGTTTCGAGTCTGCATTGTTCTTGGAATACTTGGAGTTTTCGGAGCCATTGCCAGACTTGGGAGACTTCGACCGGATGGCCCGGTACATGCTATTGAATGGGTTGGAAGGCATTGTTGCGAGGGGTGATGCTGTTGATGGGGTTGATGGAACCACTTTGAAGATTGGAAGTGGAACTGGTAGGACTGGCTTGTCTGTAGCTGTTGATTTACTTTCCACATTGCTGATTTTGACACTTATATAACTCTCTTGATCGTGAGGGAATTGTATAGTCCAGTCCGTATAGTTCGTCACTGCCTGGGCGGAGTCGGCCCTCGGAGTAAACGCACGGGCCATCGGACCAGCCCTGAGCGTTCCTGTCATTTTCTCCGCGAGCTTATCTTCCCTTCCAGACCCTCTCTCCCCCTCTCCCTCTCACCTACCCTCTCCACTCCCCCACTGCGTCGGACCTCAACTCACAGGTTTGACTCATCTCGACTCACGCGGAGTCACACAATTCATTCTAACGTTCAATTAAACCATGTCTGCGCCTCGTCGCAACGGCCAACTGTCGTCATGCGAGCCTTGCCGGAAATCCAAGCTCCGATGCGATCACTCGACTCCGACCTGCAAACGCTGCGAGCGCCGTGGTAAATCGGACCTCTGTGTTTACCATCCCGCCCCACTGACCAAGCCGCGCCAGTCTGGCCAGATCCTCAAGGCAACCCAGAAAACTACCAATCTCCAACCGTTGTTGTGCGCGAAGACAATTTCCGTCACCAGTCTCGGGAGCTCCGCGTCCGTCAGCCTGCTGGGAGCCGCACAGTTTCCCAACATCTCCAAACGTCATCTGTCAGGCAGCGGTTTTCTGGGACCGACCAGTTACTCGGGCAGCGTGTTCAGCAATGAGGTTGAGCTGGAGCTGGGGGGTCGCGCCCCGTTCTCCCAAACAGACACGCCCATTGACCCTCAGCGAGTGAATCAGGGAGCCCAAGTACTTTCATTAATCGAGCATCTCGACTTGTACGAGAAACTGACAGAAAATCGCAACAAGATCGTACCAGGCTGGATCTTTGGTCCCCCGTTCTTAATGCCACTCTTTGCACAACTGAGAGCCTCCTACCGCAATGCAACCGCAGGATCAGATAACAAGTACGCACGGCTCCTGGATCTGTCCCGAGTCCTGTTCAAGAACTCGGCTGTTCCAATCGAAACAAAATCCTCCATGTCCATATGTGACTACCTCTCTCAGTTCACGCTCCGCTGGGACATGATCGGTCTTGTATTTGCAGTGGCAGGCTCAGCGACATTTCAAGTCCCCCAACAGGAGCTTGACGGCATATTCAAGGACTCGCCCGGAACAACCAAAGAAGGATTGCGCCAGATGACTTTCCAGGCAACTGAGGCCTGTCTGCAATTCTGTAATGATCTAGGCATCATTAGCGATCCACTATCCTGGACAATGGTCCAACACACGATCTTCCTGTCTTCCTTGCATGGATCCTGTGGTAAGTCACGATTTTATCGAGTGTCTAGCTGGTTCCCAAGTAGAATTCTAAGTAGCTTAACATCGTTCCAGACCACCGGACATGGCAGATGCTCGGTGATCTCACTACCATGGTCTTTGCACTAGGCCTTCACCAGCCTGCTGCAGACAGTGACATCCCATTTTTCTTGGGAGAAATCCGAAAGAGAGCTATGGTCGCGGCTTATGCTTTGGATAAAGACATTGCGACTTGTCTAGGCCGCCCGCCTCGAATATGCTGGCGTTATTGCAATATCCAGTTCCCCCTGGACCTTAGTTTTGAGGAGGTAGTGGCCGAGCCGTTGGTCAGAGAGGCGGCGCTTCAGCAGCTCGATGCAGCCGGGTGGAACAAGGATGGACGATTGGACAAGGGAGCACGTGGTAGAGGTGTCCTGATCGTCAGTCTCTTCCGCGAAAGCGTACTGGAGGTATCTTTGAGCCATGAGCTTGACGGCTTGGAAAATAGGGTCCTGTACGTCTCTCCCTGAGCTCTGTGAGACTGCCCGCTAAGCTGGCGCACATAGAGAGGTCTGCCGTAGGTCGGATGAGTACCGCCTAGGTTTACCGGCGCACCTGCAATGGACGGACGAGAAAGAAGATCTGTCCCTGGCATCGCTACATCTTGAGTTTGTCTACCAGCGATTTCTACTTTGCCAAACATTGTTCAAGCGCATAGGCAAGGGCCTTGACCTGCTGATCAGCACGTCGTCGGAGATCATTACACTGCTGCTAAAGATGATCTCTATGCACTCTCGTCTCGGATCGGTTCCTCCGAGCGTAAAATGGGACGTAAGTCGCGCAGCCGAGGCATTCCTTCCATTGCGGCTAACGCAATTTGCTTCCAGTTGTGTTATATCGGCCTGCCCGCCGCGGGGGCCTTATCGATCGAATTGCTTCGACGCTCCCAGACCCACTCCCTGACGTCTTTAACAGCGTCTTCGGCACCTTTCCCCCGGTCGGAGATCATCCAGAAACTGTCCGTGTTCATCGCTCAATTCAATACCTTTGTCCCTCAGAACGAGGGTGACTACGAGATCAGCAATCGAGGCCAGAAAGTCATCTCGCAGGCGCTGGACCGCGTGCTCTCGGGTGTGCCCTCCAGCATCTCTGCTTCAGAGGATATGGTGTCTGATGGAGCCACCATAGGCGACGATGTGGAGTTCATGGCCTTCTTGGAGAACTTCGACTGGGAGCAGGAGGCTCGGCTGGCTTTCTGCTAGAGAGATGGCAACGCTCGCAGAAGAAGGGTTCGAGCGACAGCACCAGTAGAGATCTCATTTCCGGTATCAGGAGTGCCGTGAGTTTCTAAGCTAATGACTAAATCGCACATATGACATTTAACGAATGAACATGTCCACCAATCAATTTTCGGTCATTATAGATCTGAATGGCAAACAGAATTCCTAATCAGGTCGGCAGGCGGACCAGCCCAAACGGGAATCTTCCGACACCGATCGGCTAGGCTACAATAGGAAGGCTGCCGCCGACCCCACGATGACCGAATCCGATCTACACGGGGTACGTCATGGGAAGGATTTCTCGAAATAGTCACAATGCCCTTGTCGGATGACAATGAGCTCACTGCTGAGATGCAAAGTACAATCCATTGTCGCTTAACCATACCCACAATCAAGTCCCTCCGATCTATACCATCTATAACTTACAACCAAGCAACACGAGCCACCATGTCAGTCATACATAAAGAACCCCTTCATCTAACCCCAACCCCAAACCCCCTATCCCTAGCACTCTACAAATTCCTCAAGCCCCAATCGGCTGCTCCTCCCCGCGCGGGGCATTATTGATCAAACTCATGAAACAATTCCACCCTACGTCCAAAAAGTCAGCAAACATCCCTGAAGATACCCCCTTCGCCCCTCACCCCAATCCCCCCATCCCCCCCTCAACCCTCATCCCAGGAGAAGAGAAGAAAACATACCAACATTCACCACATTGACCACCAACACCCGAAACGGCAGGGGCACCAGGAACAGATTCACGGCCTGCACGGCGGGCCACACCGTCCAGTTCGCGCGCAGCGCGGCCCCGTAACTCCGGGCCAGCTTGTCGGCGGGGCTCTTGCCCTCGAGGAGCGCCATGCTGCTCAAAAACACGCCGATCATCGTCGGCGCGAAGAGGAGCTGGTCGGCGCCGACGCGGGCGATGAGCGTGCTGCCTGCGGAGCGGAAGGCGACGCGCGCTTGCAGGAGTTGGTACCATTTTGTGGCCACGGGGCCGAAGATGGCTTTTCTTGTTGGTTAGCTGGGTAGGATTGAGGGATCTGGGGGAGGGTCTTGGGGAGGGTTTGGGGGAAGGGTCTTAGGGATAGGGGCAGCGTAGGGGTAACGCAAGCTCACCGCCGCCGTACAGCGCCATCCGGCTGCTGCGCATTACATCATATTCGGACAGGGGACGTTTCTCGATGGCGGTTTGCGCAAGGCCGTCGCCTAGGGCGAAGAGGGCCTTTCTCCGGAAATTAGCTTTGGGCAGTTTGTCGGGGGCTGAGAGCAGAAGGGGTAGCTTGCGTACGGCTGTGGTTAGACCCTGCGTGAGGTAGGGTCGTTGGATGAGACTTCGTTGGTACCTGGTTTGTCCGTTAGTTTCGGTGACTAGTTGGGGGATAGTGGGTAGGCGTACCAGGCGAACATTGTGGCTGTTCTGTCTATGAATCTTATTCAAGTAGGTCAAGATGAACAATTTAGGAGATATGAAGGGTGAAATGGAATTGAAGAAGTTGTTTTTCTCAAGAATGTGGAATGTTGGTCGGTTCGGCCAGGTTGTGGCGGATAGCCCAAACAGGAAATCGGCCCGCTGTGACGCAATGGGATGAACGCATCGTCCCGTGGATAAGTGCGATCATCGCGTGTGGCTGGATCTTGGTTGGAGAGATAACCTTATCTCTATCTGAGTGGGCAAGGGGAAGTGACGGAGTCTTGTCTATAGTTCACGTGTTAATGCGTACTGCCTTCTCCCAATGGGAGATTTGTGCAGTCTTGGCATTCACCGGATATCTTTCGGTTGAGTATATTTCGGTGTGGGAGAAGAGTGTGCCTATGACATCTTTCGATGGTCGATGATCATACTATGCTATGCTTTGAAGATGGCAGATGCATAGCTTCGCGCTAGCTGAGTCACAGCTCGAGAGGCATAGAGTAAGGAGATAGAGATCTAAGCGAAATACTTCGACTAAATGTCTGGTGGAAGTAGTTCTCTTGTCCTGACTACTCCTCACTTAAATCTGCTGTCAGATCAAGCATGTGACCACTAGCTATAAGGTTTCTGTTCACAGCAGACGCCATCAAAGCCCCCAGGCCAAACGAAAGTGGAAAGAGGGGCGACAAGCGAGACATGCATCCTAGACCATCTTGGCATCTAGCAAGACAAAACCAAGGTCCGAACCGGTCAGCATGAACGAAGTGCCCGACGCTTACCATCTGAAACATTTGGGCCGAGATAATCGACATGCCCCAAGATGAGACAGAAAACACCCAAACAACCACAGATCACAGGGTCTCTACATTATACCCCAGTTCTCGGCAATCGGCACCGCCTGGCTCAAGCGTGCGAAGCTCACCCCTGACGGCCCGCAGCGGGGGTCAATAGTTCGGAACCCTTAAAGGGGTCCGATTCTGGCGCCAACGCAACAACCGAAATTGTGTCTTTCTCGGTGATCCAATCGCAGTGTCAGTCTTGCTTTGGCCCCAGATGCAGGGACCCTAGCCTTTTCCTCTTTGAGCCGCTTCCTGACTTGTTCATCTCCACCTGGAAGAACTGTTGTGCAACCGTTTAGGCAATCAGGCAGTAAGACAGTAGCATCCGCCTATTGCTCTGCCAGAATTGGCACACGCTGAAGCGGGCGTCTCCCGACGCTTGGCTCGTGGATTATAACTTAAGATCTCTGGGTCACCCCGGATGATTCGGTTCCTGCCATCCTTCCGCCATCCTTCCGCCACAGCTCAGATTCTCTCACGGTGCCTGTGAATATGGCGAGAAATGCTTTCCAGTACTTCCTAGAAGCGGCATGTGCTGCTAGGCGTGTTGCGGGTACCGTGTCCGCCATCGAATTGGACATCAACAATGAACTCATGGTTTCAATCAATCCGACTCTTGTTTTCCGCTGACATATCGACATTCAGAGTCCGTCAAAGATGCAGCCGCCACCGCCGCATTCAACACCATGCAGCACTACAACGGTAACAAGACCGGGGAAATTCCGGGCGTCATCACCAGCCTCTGGGCCGAGGGCGGCGTTCTCTTCAACCTCATGATCCAGTACTGGTACTTCACCCGTGACGCCTCCAACAACGCCGCCGTCAGCCAGGGCATGTACTGGCAGATTGGCGACAACGACTACATGCCGTCGAACTGGAGCTCGCAGATAAGCAATGACGACCAGATGGCCTGGGGTCTTGCCGCGATGACCGCCGCAGAGCTGGACTACCGCCAGGACGTCAATCAGACGTCGTGGTTGACTCTTGCTGAAGGGGTGTTCAACACCCAGGTCGCGCGATGGGACACCGGCAACTGCGGAGGCGGACTACGCTGGCAGATCTGGCCCTTTAAGTCCGGATACACCCAGAAGAATGCCATCAGCAACGGTGGTCCCTTCCAGCTCTCTGCGCGGCTGGCCCGGTACACCCATAACCAGACGTATGCGGACTGAGCGGAGAAGATCTGGGACTGGAGTGCCGGCGTGCCGCTGCTGAACAACGAAACCTCGAGTATCGCAGACAGCACCGACGTGGACAATGGCTGTACCACACAGGGAAACAACCAGTGGACGGCCAATTACGGGCCGTACATCAGCGGTGCAGCCTACATGTACAACTTCGTAAGTCGGCCCTTGCAAGCCAGCTAAAGCAAAAGCAACTAACAAAGACGAAGACCAACGGTCAAACCAGCGAATGGAAGTCCGGTCTCGACGGCCTGCTCAACGTCTCGCTGGAGACATTCTTCCCTGAGAAGTATGGCGGCCTGATTCTGTCGGAAATCCTTCGTGAGCCCACAGAGAATTGCAACTCGCTCGAAGACACGTACAAGGGAACCTTCGTGTCGGATTTGACGCTCGCAAGCCTCGTGGCTCCGTACATCTCGTCAAAGGTGTCTTCGCGTCTGCAGGCGTCGGCTGTCGGAGCGGCGAAGCAATGCACGGGTGGGAACAACCAGACGCTCTACGGTCGTCGCTGGTACTCGGGCGAATGGGATGGGACGGGTGGGAGAGAGGAGCAGCTCAGTGCGACCAGCATCTTTTTCTCGAATCTGGCCGGCTTCACTGAGAAAAGCGTGGCTACTGCTGCCGCGGCTGCCAATCAGACTACTGGGTCTAATGGCACGAATGGGACCTCCGCAAACGGCACTAGTGTCCCTGTTGCCTTGAACGGTGCTGGAAATTTGTCCCAAGGACAAGTCGGTGTTGTTACTGCTGGCGTTCTGGGAGGCTTGGTATCTACTTTCGTACTTTGACTTTGTCAACCAGTTGTACGAGATAGTCACTTGGTCTCAACCAGTATCTGTGGGCAGGGAGTGGATTTGCCATGCAATGGCTGCGAAGAGTACCAAAACAACTAACATGACACTGTTGTCTTCTTTTTAGTCAATCTTAATTCACCCAGCTGGTGTCAACTTCTGTCTCCTTGTTCGGTAAAGACTGGGTTTCTGGTGGCTCTTATGGCACGAGAACCGCGCATATCAGAGATTGCGGACGCATACTAGGCATAGCAAAGCCCGGGTCGTATCTTACACGTCGGCTGACAGCGTATTTCGAGGCCCTTCAACAGCCCTTGAATGAGACGCATCGTCTCATGATAGTGATGCTGAGCGTCGAGATTGGACATAAAATCACTCTCTAAAGAGCTCCTGAGATGACCCTTCGGTTTGAACCTGGGTTTGTCCCATATGCTTCAAATGCAGTCAAATTGTCTTATCTCGGAGAATTTCGTCAGCGTGTATGATCTACCAAGGTCAACAGGACGGCTCATAATGTTAGTCCTCGATCTCTGAGTCGAAATCGCTATATGAGTCAGAACCCTCATCTAGGTAGCTAGGGGATTTTTCCCTCTCCGAACCAGAACCATTCAGTATACGAGCTCTAGCCGCCTTCGCCGCGTTCACGACAGTCTCCCGCTGGAGAGGGGTTGACAAATTGATGCCGTAAGCACGCTCGTGAGTGGTAACCCGAAGTGCCTCTCCATCAAGGGAACAGGTCCATCCGTGATCCAGGCTTTCCTTGAACCAGACCTCGAACAGAAATCCCCAATGCTTGCCATCGAGATCCCGAAGCACTCTGTCGAATTCATCCCGCGTTCGGATAACTTCCTCAAGATTTCCAGCCGTGGACCGTGTGAGGACCGAAAGCATGGCTTGCAAGACTCCTTGACTGAGATGCCTTTGCGATTTGAGACACTTGACGGCAGTGAGCCCAAACCCCGCACTCCCAGTCGCCAGGATCCGGACCACGGACTTCAGGATACCTTCCGATAGTTCCGGTTCCTTAGTCAAAGTCTCTAGCACAAAGCCCGTAGTCTTGTGATCCAGATATAGGTCAGCCAACAGAGCCGAGATGGGCCCCGTGGCATACTTCGGCAACCGAGACTGATTGGCGAGTATATGACATGCCCGAAGCTCTAGTTGTTTGTTTGAATGACCCAAGAAAAGGATCAAAGATTTCAGAATGTCGTCACTCAAGTCATGATAGCATAGAAGGATATTTTGGACAAGATCTCCCGTCACGTCATCATCGTGGCCCCAGAATCCAAGCAATACTTCCAAAGCTTCGTCTGAGAGATCAGCGTGCTGGGAATATACTTGAAGAATCTGTAATACAAGATTCTGTTTCTCCGAGTCTGTATCTTCGAGAATGGACATGAGATATCGCATCCAAGACTCGGGAATTCGTTGACGCCCGATGGCTTTTGCAGCTGCGATCCTGACTTCGGGGGAGTGCTCGTTGTCAAGGAACGGAACCGCAGCTTCAACAATGTGCTCCGAGCTGGCGCAATGTTTGCTCCACAACTCCATGGTTTTTATCTTCAATACATCGTCCTCCTCATTCCTCATACGATATTCCAGAGTGTCCAAGATATTGCGTGGCAAAGATTCTTGATACCCCAGGACGTGTACAGAACGCTCTCGAATACTTGCATCATCATCACTCAGAGCCCTTCGTAAGGTATCTAAAACAAAGGTCCTGTCAGAGAGTCTGAAGCAAGCTAAGATGACCTCCAGCCTCACGTCTCGATCATCATCGTCCTGGAGAGCCATCAGACTCGGGATGATCTCGATGTTGGTAGACAAATGTCTCCCAAGTATTGTCGCCGCAAACTTCCTCAGTGATGGTTGTCGAGCCTTCAGCAGCGATACGAGCTTCGTAATACTTGCCTTCGATAGATTGCGCTGCCATAGTATTATTTTCGCTGATTCTGCCACTGAAGTTTCTGTTGCTGCGGTCCGGGCTAGCAATGTATTTATGAAACATTCAGGTGCCCCATTCCAGTCCGTAAGCATATAAAAATTTGGCGCTGTCCACGGTCCTGCACACTCCATCATCTGTAACAGAGGATCTGACCAGACTTTATTATGCATGGTTAAGACAGAAAGAGCATAACCTACTATTTCTTGAGGGTTGCTGGAGTGCACAAGCTCTGCCACCTTCTGGACAAGTGACGATGACACCTGAGCACGTCTCGACAAATCATAAAGAACTCTCGTCATGCGGTTTACATCCCGTCCATCATCCAGGATGTGCTCTAGCAAATGCTCTGGAAATTCCATTTCGTGACACAATTTAATGGCGAAAAAATCACTGTGTGCCTCCCAAGCAGCCAGTAGCTCTTCCTCCATAGTTTGCTTTATTCGCTGCAGAGCAGGGCTGAGAAGAAAAGGTGTCATCTCACTAAAACAATGCATCAAGACGCGAGGATGTGCAAGCCCAAGTAAGTCCTTTGGCTCGCTATCCAGTACTTGCATGAATTGAGTGAGCCTTTCTTGATTCTTGCTGTCATAGAGAAGTCCGGCTGTAAATCGCCACATGACACTGTAGCGACCGTTATACTTCTCGCGTTGTATAAAGTGTTTTGCATCCAGATAACGACACTCGGCCGAATTCATCTCAATGCAAGCCAGCGGTGTATCAGTCAGCCAACAGTGCACAAAGTAATGAGCAGCGAAGAACTCTTGAAAAGTTAAATGGATGAAGTGGTAGGTTTGGGGTTGGTGATTGTCCGCGGAATGAGCGGTCCGGAGAAATGAGAGCTCGTTGAGCAAGTTATCTGATTTATCCGCCAAGCCAGGTAATATCGCGTATGATGTTATTCGATGTTCATGTGTGAACTCAACAATGTTGTTGTATAGGCCAGTAAAAGCAAGATTCTGGATCAACTCGATATGGTCATGCATGTTGTGTTCAATTTGAGACCGGAGGTAGATATTACCACCCTCACTTTCACTCAACTTTCCCAGAAGAACCATGTCTTTTTTCCATAATCTGACTTCGATTGCCTGATACAAGGCAGTCATGGTTCTAATGTTCTGCGATAGGAGTCTCTCGTTCCAAGCGAAGCATAGCGCATCCAACTGAATAGGAATCTGGAGAAGACTTTTTATCAACCAGTGACTGTTGATGAAATGCTTGATCTCCGTTGCAGATTTTTCGTCCTTGCCAACGCAGCCGACAATTTGGTCCACGTAGGCTTCTACTTGCTCGGAGCGAAAGCCAGTCGTCTCAAGCTCGAGATCAAAGTCATAAATCGATTTATCAAATCTTGCATGCGGCCTGGAAGTAACGATGACATTCGGGTAGTTGAGAAGATCAAGTATCTGCTGAGATTTGGCAAGATCCCCACTAGGAGTCTTCACACCAACAATTTCATCGAAGCCGTCCAGCAGCAACAGAGTTCTGTTGTCTGTATGGTGAAAAGTTGTACCCAGTAGACTGGAGATGAAGTGGTCTTTCTCCGGATGATTTGACCAAACCTCATGAAACAGAAACTGATCTAGACTAGGCTTGTCTTTAAGCTTGCGTAATGGTATCCAAAGCACTCGCTCGAAGTTCCACCGAGGAAATTCGGCGTTGATGAAGTCGTGAACAATCTTTTTGCATAGGGTTGTCTTTCCCACCCCAGCACGACCTCTTATCAGGATGCGTTTTGGAGCTTTCAACTGGTTGTTTTGCGAACCTCGGTGGCTTCTCAGTTCGCGAATATCATAGAGATCTTGTAATGCGATCGCCTTCCCCTCGGGCGGAGCTTCAACTTTCAGACGCTTCTTGAGGGAAACTTCGAAGGCTTCCTGGTTTTGTCGTTCTTGAAAAGGTTCTACGATGCCAAGGTTGATGTAACAGTTTGCAATATCTAAAATGTCGTTTGAGAGGCGTAGTATTTTGAGCCGATTCTGCTCCAGGTAGTATTCGGTCAATGCCGCATCAGCATAAAATCTTTGCGCTTCTATGCACTCGCGCCACGCATCTTCTAACAAACTACCCCCGATGGCTCCTGTCGTTTTCGGGTCGAAAGGCTTTCTCACTTGCGGTTCGCTCTTTGGTTTCTTTATAAAGCATAGCGGAAAGGATTTCCGGGCTCTTGGTAAGGGGTGTTCCCATCCTTTCTGATCAAACGTCTCTGAAATCAGGTTGATCCACTGCTGAACACGCAAATTCTTTGCCTTCGTTTCCTGCAAGGATTTCAAGTCGAATGTTGCGTTGACAACTCGGATGATCCGATCCATTTTCCGTTGACCTCCCAACAAGAAGCCTTGTTCAAGTTGGGCATATAATCCGCACCAGAACTGCCAGCTATCCCCACAGGGAATCTTAGGTAACATAAGTTCAAGGGTGTCAAATGAGCTGCCGCCGGCGATGATAAGCATACTAGTGTACCGAAGTATGCCATACCAGAGCCTTTGATGTGGAAGTCTTCGGATGTTCTCAACAAACACTTCATCCATCTTCTTCCTAGCTTCAACTAGTTCTCTGCCCCCGTCATAGATTCTTTTCAAGAATTCAAATAGTTCCATCAAGTCTGGTCCCGCGTCCAGTAGTTTTTCCAGATTCATGGCTGAGACAGCCCCGGCAGTTCTTGCAGCCACTGCAATGACCTTCCCGCTGTTGCTCCAGAAGATGTCCCAGGGACCTTGGTTGTCTGAAATACCTTTGAGCGCTTGGTACGCGTAGACTGCCGCTTGAGCCAAGCGTGGCTCCTCATGGTCCTTCAAGTCTGCAAGTAGTTTGAGAAGTGGGTCTCGTAGAGAATTTTTGTCGATTTCGGATGCTTTGATATCTAGCGCGACGTCGAGCAAGGCGCCGAGCGTATAGCACAGAAGGTATTGAGCTTCCAATGCATTCTCACGGGCTTTGTAATCCAGCCTCTCACGCAATGCATCAACTGTCGCATAAAGCCCATCGCGCGAGTAACCTTCCGACTTGTTGCAAAGGAGAAATACGAAGCTAGGGAGAAGATCCCCGTCAGGTGCGTTACCCTTTCCGGCGTTGTCCACGATCGCGCACGAGAAGACTTGTGCCAAGTGGTGGTATTGTCTCTGAGTCGTGGCTCGTGACAAACGTGACGCTTCAATATAGTAACTTGGACGGCCCTTATCACAAAATCGGCCGACCATCTGCGAGATCAAAGCACGCAGCGCCGACTTTTCCTTCTCGTCGCATGTGGAATCGCCTAGCCGAGATGTGATCTCGTCCACGGTTTTGGGTCTCGAAGGACAGTGCAACGCAGCCGCCATGCTTAATGATTACCTTCAAGGACGTCTTTCGTTCACAAGAGATTGGGAGGCATGGAAGAGGAGCCTTTTGCAAGAAAAAATAGGCAGGCTGCTTAGCTGCTAAAGCGAGGCTGTGCGCTGAGGCTTAGCAACGTGCAGAGACCCCTGCTAGTCCGCTGAAATGCCCACGAATCAGCATAATTTACTGACTAGCTTTTGCTGATGGGCGCGTAACTTACGTTGACTTGAGTCTTGATTTTGCATGCGTACAATCGCAATACCGCTATTTATTCTATTGCAATATCTGGGATTTTGAGAGCGCTGAATATCTATCAAACTCCATAGCAACAGCTTGCCAGTGCCAAAACCCTCCCCGCCGCTGACTGATCTCATCAAGCGATTATAACATGTTTCGCAGTCTGTCAGAGGTGTAAACTCCCCACCAGTCATCTAAGTGCTTGGTGGTGCATTTCTGACGTTTAGGGTCTTGTGCGCCCGCTGCTCGGAGAACGAAAGCACAATCCGCGTGGCCTTCCCGTTCGGCCTAGTGGAGGACCGTCCATCCTTGGAACCCCGGTCTATTGACGTTTGCGCCGTGGAACAATGAGGATCTGAATCATATCTGCATGGCCGTAGCGACAGGCGAGATAGGGGGGTATCTAGTCGTGGGAGGTTGCTGTGTCGATCTCAGCACCGGAGTGTAGAAGAGATACGGCTTGTAGGTTTCCATGACGGGCTGCAAAACATGAAGGGCGGATTCGCCAGTGTCGTTGCGGTGGTTGACTAAACACCTAAGATGAGGGCTCTTTGAATGAAGTTCATGTCGCATGTTGTGGCTATTGTGGCTACGGCTCGATGAAGATGACGGTGTGTGCCGTCGTGGATCTCGCGGATAAGGTATTCGTCGATATAGCGTGATGTGAGGGTGGAGAGCGGGCGGCAGACAAGACGGGAGGGAAGGAGATCTGCTTTGCTGAATAGCCGATTTGATTTAGTAAAAGCTTGTCGAGGAGAATACCAGACAATCCGGCAGAAGAAGGTAGATTATCTCAAGTGGTAAATGGCTGAGGAAAGTCATGGTTAGTACTAGGTTTTTCAAATCCTCACATGGCAACCTGCGACGCTTTATTTAGTCGGCTTGAGCTGTATTGTCGTCGGTAGAGCTTGCCTGTTCGGTTGATAAGACAGTACGGCAGCTACCAGACTGCGATAATTGCTAACTTAAACGAGAGAAGATATATCTAGCCCTCGCATGTCCGCGAAAGGAGAGCATTTGCTGAGGTAAGTTGGCGGAACAGGGCTGGCTGAAGCTGAGTATAGCTACTTCAGTCTCCCGCTCGGGCCTGCGTTGGCCTGATGATTCTGGGAAATCATTCAAGCAACTCGGTCTCCACCTCACAGATTCTTCAAAAAGCAAGAACAAGAATCTAGTACATCAGAATGTGCTTGGAAGATCTGTGCCGTGGTCCATTGTGCTGCTTCCATACACGAACATGTCACGATCGGCTCGTGTCACCGATAAGGAAAACAACAGCCAGCATAGCTTTAAAGTTCCTGATAGTGCGCCGATACGACTCAACCGCAATCTGAACTCTGAAAGCTCTAGTTCCAAAGTTCAGAAGAAGAATATATAGAAGGATAAAGACTATGCCAAGGTGGATATCTGTGGGAAAAGAAGTTAACAAGAAGCAGTACCCTACCCTCCCTGGCCACGCCAATTACAACTCGCAGTGAGTCTCAAAAACCGTTCAAAATCCAGAAAGGATAGTTCATCGAGTTTGGGAATGGTATATAGACTATTCTGTGTGATCTAATCAGTAACCTATGATCTTGAAGATCTCTTCCATACATACGCTATGGTGTTTAGATCTCACTCAAAAATCTTGGTGGGTTGTATTCTGGTTGGCTAGGCAGGTACGGCAGGGTAGCGTCAAGGCAACAGCCCTCCCAACCTTAGGCAACCACCATCAAGCACGCACTGCCCCCCGACAAACGACATTGTGTGTTGTCTTCTATAGCTCCTTGAAGCTTAGAAGCATATCCTGCCGCTAGGATCTCTTCGCTCTTTCATCTCCCAAGAAAACAGCAACTCTGCGATCCTGCGATCCTTCTCGGCTACTGCGGACTCAAGGCGCCCGACTATAAGACGCCCAACAACCCAGCGACAAAGACGACAATAAGCTTACCTCTTCCACCTCTCCGCGCCACAACCCACCCCTCACGATGGCATCCAACCAAGCCCCCGACATCACGCTCTACCGCGGCTTTCCCTGGCCCGGGAAATACACCTGGTCCCCCTTCGTCACGAAGCTCGAGGCGCGTCTGCGCTTTGCGGGGATCTCGTATCGCACGGACGCCGGGTCACCGCTCGGCAGCCCGCGGGGTAAGATTCCGTACGTGGACATCACGGACCGGACGACGGGCGCAAAGACCACCATCTCGGACTCCGCTCTGATCACTCGGGGATTCATCGAGGATGGTGTAATCACGGACCTCAATCGCGATCTCGATGCGGAGAAGAAGGTGTTCGATGCTGGGGTGAGGGCGCTGTTGGAGGACCGCTTGTATTTCTACCTGGTACACTGCCCGCTTTTTCTTCCCTCGTCGATTGCCTATAAGAATGCGATAAACTGATCCAAGCGACAGAATCACGAGAAATGGATCGAGAACTACTACGAGATGCGGAAACACGCCCTCAGCGCGCTGCCGTACCCGGTCAAGGTCGCGGTGGGATACTACATCTACCGGAGACAGAGGGAGATGCTGTACAATCAGGGCACCCTGCGATTCACATTGAAAGAGCTGAAAGGATTCAAGGAGGACGTTTGGACGAGTATAAGCGAGCTGCTGGTGTCTCGCAAGGCCCAGAAGCAGGGTGATGGGCCGTTCTGGGTGCTGGGCGGCGAGGAGCCGACCGAGGCTGATGCGGTTCTGTTTGGGTTTCTGGCCGCGTCTTTGGTTTGCTCTGCGTAAGTCTTCTTGACCTTTAGCATGGTCGATTCTAATCTGTGGTGTCCAGCTGTCCGGAAACTCGGGCGATCTTGAGAGGCTTACCTGTGGTGGTGGAATATGCGCGGCGCATCCATGACCGCTACTTCCCGGATTACGCTTGCTGGGAGTGAATGCCCGTTTGACGATTTTGATGATCCATGTTGTTCTTTTCTATTGTCATCTACGCAGTCTAATCTAAGTAATGCCAAATTATCTTTCAAATTAATTCCTGGAATGAAAATGCTTTGACTCAAGGCGAGGTACTATATGTATGTACGGGGCAAGGGTAGCCCGGGGGATGTTGGTGGCTGAGGCGGCGCTCATAGGATCCAAACTCACAGCGAGAGAGTATAGAAAAGAGCAACTGGGTCACATTTGTACCGCAGAAGTTTATCTATGTTGGTTCCTCGGACTCACCCACGCCCAGCAATTTGAGGAGGAAAAGGGGCGCCGAGAACATCAGCACCAAGAAGGAACAAGGGAACAAGTAGAAGAAGCAGATCACGAGCAAGGTGCAAGCTCCTTCAAATGCAACTAGGTGATGACTTTGGACAGCCAAAGTTTCCTGCATTGCTGTCGTTGGGTCGAGAGTATCCTCGTTGATGTACAAGATCGGCTTCGGAAAATGTGGTCTTATGAGCCTATAAACGCGTTGATGGTAGTTATATACGCATTGACGGCAGGCCTGAGATTGCATAGGGAACAGCACTCCCTAGTTAGCTTCTATTGGTGTAGCGGCCTTCTTACAGATACAGGCATCTTTGCACTTGCTTGAGGGACGAAATGGTTTGGTGGCTGTGAGGAGAAAGATTTGAAAAGTTCGAATATTTTGCATCACGAATTCAGGAACGGTGGGTGTGGTCATAAAGAGGTAGAGTTCAGGTGAGAATGACTTCAAGTCCGGCACCCATACTTTCTTACCGGCAGGAAGGCATCATTACCCTCCGTGCAGGATTCAGCTGTTTTTCACATTCAGCTGGTGCTTGCCAAAGCTGAGCTCTGTTCAATGCAGTCGTCTTCGGAACGTGTTAATTTCGGAGGTATCATCTCCACTACCTTGACCCGTATTGCATATTATATTAGTCTGGCTCACTACCATTTGCCATGATCAACTAAGGATCTGTGTCTTTTTACATCAGGCGCAATACAGTTGATTCGAGATATTCCGAGCATACTCGAGCGCCAGGCGCAGGCGCAGGATACCTCTCATAACCAGGCTAGGTTCACATGAACTACATTAGCATACCTAACTACACCAGCCAACAGCCCGGATATAACTGACAAGTCTGACCTTTACGAGGTTACCAAAAGCGCTCCAGCCGGTGCAGGTCATCACAACAAGGCATCGGGAGAGACAAGATCAACCCATCCTAGATTCGGCTCGGACTGCTTCCATCCCAGCCGCTGTTGCACCAACTTTGAGTATGTCCGCACATCTTCGATCGGATACGAAAGATAAGATATTTCCTAGATTCAGAGTCAGTCGCTCATCCGTGAAGTAAGCCACTTTTTAACGTACCTCTTGACGATAAATCCCGCTGCACATGAACATAATGTGCATCATGCGTCCCCCTGAAGACTCGAAGAACTCTCCACCTCCATGGTAGAGACTGCCCAACATAATCATAGCTTCGCCGGCCTGTAATTCAGCATCAACGAGGCCCATGTCGCCGTCAGGGCCGAAGTCCGGCTTCTCATCGCCCCATAGATGGCTACCCGGGACCACGCGCGTGGCTCCATTCGCACGACGAGTATCGCACCCGGGCACAAACAAGCCTAGAAGCATGTCGCGATTCGCGTGGTACGCATCAACTCGAGCATGTCTGGCATGATGGTTCTTATCGTCGCGATGAAGCTTCTGCGCCTTCGCCCCTGGTCGGATTTCCATTGTGATGGCAATGGAAAGAAGCGGGTGAGTGACATTAGTGGACGCCTCGTCGCCGTACCAGTTGGTCGTCGTGATCGCGAGGAATTCTTCCGCTAGGTTCTACCAGTGTGTTAGAGCAATCTCCCTTTTTCTGTTTGACGTGGCAGGATCTGTCTTACCTGGTACAACGGATCGGAGAAGAATTTCTCGCGCACGGTCTTGCTGCGCCCGATGAGACGTGTGCAAGTGCGAGTCCCGCCATTGAGGGCTGTTGTCTGTCAGATTATACAGCTAACGATGGTACAGTACAATCAGCTCACCACCCAGCTTGCTCCGTTGCTGTTCTTTCTCCAGCCACGGTTGGACTTCCTGCCTTGCTTCCTCTAATGTTTTCAACGTGGTAAAGTCCTGGACTATGACACACCCATCGCGTTTCAGGGCATTGATAAAGTCTTCCCTAGGTGCAGAGTATGGTAGGCGTTGGATGATAGGCTTGGTCATTCTCGCGTTGAATGTGGTTTTCAAAATCGGTCAAGCGGAGAAAACCACGAACAGAAAAGAATTTTCTAGAAGATGCAGGCCCTTTGGAAAACATTTCAAAGTCAATTTGAGGAGGTAAAGAAGTCATGATGATCGTGACCCAAAGTTCGTTGCAGCGATTGCAAGAGGGGAAATGCTTATCTTGAACCAATTGCTGTTGTGGCTGTGGTTGTGAAAACCAGAGTGGGGGTCGATCACTGGCTGACTGACCTCCGGCCACCCCACGTTTCTTTCCATTTCCACATATGCAACTTTCCCACCTTCAACTCCTCAGCCTACCCCATGGGATCTGAACTATATCATGAAACAGCCACTTCTCCAATCATCCTCGAGATGAGTGCTTTTCGATCCTTCGTGTGTGCCTAGATGCTGTTTTCCGTGTCGGGCTTCAAGGGTATACGTGTTGCCTGCGTCTACGAAAGCCGAGCTACAGACAAGCAAGCGCTTGATTTACAGTGCGACCTCACTCTCGCTTCAACTAATTGTAGCACACATTGCACCTCTGCTAACATGTTAATCGTTTTAAATAGCACATCCAAAGCTAAACCTGCATGAAAGCTCGTGTCAAAGCTCGCGAAGCTCGACTTGCAGCCAGCGTCTCGACATTCAATGGCCTGATGGCGAATCATCCCAGGAAGGTCCAGGGTTGTGCCTGATTGTGAACCATCCAGAAGGTCTGCCCGGCCGCGCGGCAACAGCGGCACACTATCTGCGAAGTACTGTCTGTGCTGTACTCCGTACATCGTTGATAACCACCACCCAGCCTCGGCAACACCGGAATCATTCTGCTTCCATGACATTCCAGTGCTGTCACGAGATCATCCCCAACCAGGAATGCAGAATGGCATCGGACCCCTTCCACTAATGCGAGAGGTAAGATAATCGTCATGCGGCCGAAGCCGACTGCTCCCAATGGCAACAGTCCATCCCGAGTTCCGTATCCACATCGGGCCGACGTCACAATTGGATCAAAGCGAGATTTCGCCGGGCCAGCCCTGACTCGGCGCCCCACAGGTACTGATCGCCAACTTTTAAGTTGGCCTGCACACTTCTGACTGGCTGAAAGGTGACCCGACACATGGCCTCTATCCGGACTGCTCTCCTCCGTTCAATTGTGTACACGGTACTTGCCCTCCTTCTGGAGGGCAGATGTCATGATGGGGTCAAATCCTTCCTTGGGCTGCTTGCGTAGGATAGATATGCAAGGGCCTCTGCCCCTCACCCTCCTCTTTAAAGAGGTTTATATAAGACTGCGGATGTTTCTATGTCCGTCACTGTTGACAAGAGCCATCATCTCACCGATTCTAATCCTCAAAGTTGACCCCGCACACTAGATCACAATGAAGGAGGCTCAAGGAGCTTGTGCCTCGGCTGCACCTGTCTTTCAGGGTAAGCGCCTTTGGTAGCGGTGGTTGATGATTGGTCCCGGTACTCACACAAACAACAGAGACCCCAGATAAAGTGTCGCAAGAGGTGGAGCGTATCGCGCAGATGTTCACCATCGATGGAGACTCTCTTCGGCGCATAACTGATCACTTCGTCCAAGAGCTTGAGAAAGGTCTGTGGATGCCCTAGCGGTGTCGCATGTCCACTTACTAACCCAGGACAGGCCTCGGCAATGAAGACAGCGATATTGTATGAGAATCATTCCTCTTCACCATGCATCCTGCCACTGACAGTATCTCAGCCTATGAATGTGACGTGGGTGATGAACCAGCCGACGGGATACGAAACAGGTTCATATCTCACCGTAGATATGGGCGGTACGAACCTTCGCGTCTGCAACGTGACCTTGACCGAGGAGAAAGGAGGATGCGAATTGACGCAGCACAAATTCAAGCTCCCCAAGCACATGAGACAGTGTACTGCAGATGAGCTCTGGGCCTTCATCGCCGACCGCATCCAAGACTTCATTGAGGAGCAGCATCTCACACCGCCCGAGTCGGAGAAACTTCCCCTTGCCTTCACATTCTCTTACCCCGTCACTCAAGACAATATCCGACACGGCGTCCTCCAACGTTGGACAAAGGGGTGGGACATTTCCGGTGTCGAAGGACACGACGTGGTAGCACAGCTGGAGCAAGCTCTTGAGCAGAAGGTAAGGAGCCTTTGTTTTTGTGCCACACTTCAAAGCAACGTCTTTTACTGATTATTACACAGAGCATCCCCGTACGGGTCGTAGCGCTGGTCAACGACACGACCGGAGCACTAATTGCATCCGCCTACAAAGACCCCGACGTAAAGATCGGCAGCATTCTGGGCACTGGCTGCAACGCCGCCTACATGGAAAAATGCGGCCGCATCCCGAAGATCGCCTCCCACAACCTTCCCACCGACCAGCTGGTCGGCATCAACACCGAGTACGGCGCCTTTGACAACAGCCACAAAGTCCTCCCGCGATGCAGGTTCGACCTCGAGATCGACCGCGCCTCCCCACGGCCGGGACAGCAGACGTACGAGAAGATGGTAGCCGGTCTCTACACCGGGGAGCTTTTCCGGTTGATCATCGTTCACTTGCACGAGACCGTGGGCTTTTTGGGTGGTTGCGATCTTCAGAATCTCCGTGACGTCCACGCGATGGAGTCTTCGTGCCTGTCGCGCATGGAGGAGGAGAACGCGGCCGCGGAGAGTCAGATGGCCGAGACCCGCGCCATGCTCAAGCAGGAGTTCGGGATCGAGCCCACACTCCAGGAACTGAGGACTTGCTGTAAGCTGGCGGAGATCGTGTGCACGCGGGCGGCTCGGTTGTACGCCTGCGGCATTGCCGCCATCTGCAAGAAGGAGGGGCTCACGCGGGGTCGTGTCGGGGTGGATGGGTCGGCGTTCAGCAAGAACTACCAGTTCAAGGAGCGGGCTGCTGCGGCGTTGCGGGAGATCCTAGAGTGGCCGACGGAGGAGGATCTGATCACGTTCGTCCCGGCGGAGGACGGCTCGGGGATCGGGGCTGCATTGATTGCGGCGCTGACGGTGGGAGATCACGGGTGTCTTTCTACGACTGACAACGGCACACGATGTCATATTCTCTAATTCCAGCAGTACGCATGAGCGTTAATAGCATAGCATACGAATTTATCTAATCAGAAGAATCACTCAAATATCTACACTCGGGCCCACCTTGGGCCCGTCCACCGTCCTCTACTCGATGAAGAAGTACGCACGTAAATCTCGGGTACAGTATTTCCCCAGCGGTCTGTTCCATGTTGCTCCAGTATTTACGAGAGACCCGCAGTGCGGATCCCTCAGGGGAGAGGAAGCTCAAAAGAAAGCTTCTACGATATATATACGGGACACATTCGAAGCACGTACGCCACCTCCCTTTCAACCCTACGCAGTGGTGTAAGGCGATTTGAGTACACCGAATAATCATGGATCGATATCGGAGTTACCCCGTAAAACCGACAGCATACCGAACTTGGAAGGGGTTCTCCGCATGGCGGGTGTAACCGCCGCCCACGGGGAAGACGCAATGAAGAATCCACGAGCAAGCCGCTGACGAGCACGGGGCTCATCTTCTAGGTGGTTCAAGCCTCAGGCTCCCTTTCTGTAAGTGGCTCTGACTGAAAACCAGGCTGAAAATCAAGGCTATTCAATGCTCATTAATTTATGACTAAGGTATGTTCTGTGACCCCGGCCTTCAATTCCGGCTAAATACATCCCTCGATTTAACCTCAGAGAGACCCTGCGCTACCGAGTCAGCCCTGACCGCTCGTCTTCAGCCCCAATGTAGCCGCCTCCCGGGATCAGCAAGCCCTCTTCGGTAAAAGGAAGGATAATTAGATTGAATGGACTGGCTCTACCGACGCCATCCCGTGCACCGGACTACACCGGCACCGTGCAACTGCCGGCTTACGCTTCGGTAGTGTGCGGTGGCACGGGAGCGTCGTCCAGATGCACCGTCTTGGTGGTCATCTTCTCCGCGGATGCGTCCATCTCACCATGCAGCAAGGCCGTCAGACCGATGTCGCGGTCGATCTGCTGGCGGAGGGCCTCGTCTTCGGCGGCCATGCCCTCGGATCCAAAGACTTCGTCCATCTCCTCCAGGGTGCGGCCCTTGGTCTCGGGCACGAAGAACAAGACGTAGAGGAACCCGATCACCGTCAGGCAGCCGAAGAAGATAAAGGTTCCATAGGCGGATCGTGCAATAAAGGGGGAGGTTGCCAAGCCGACGCCAAAGTTGTTGAGCTAGCAGGAATTAGCCAAGCTCTTGAAGAAACAGGTGAGCATACATACCCAGTTGCTGCTACCGCCAAGACTGACTCCCTTGGCACGCATGCTGAGCGGAAAAACCTCCGATACCACAATCCAAGCACAGGGACCTAGCTGGCTGTTAGAATTACACCCATTGTATCAGGAGACCAGGACTTACCCCATGAATAGGCAAAGTTGATGATGAAAATCCACACAAATGCCACGGTCGCCCAGCCCGCACTGCGGTGGCTTCCAAACTCGCCTTCGTACGTGGCGATAAGTCCGGCACAGATGAAGTGGCAGATTGCCATGCCTGCAGCACCAGCCAATAGAATCTTCTTGCGACCGATGTTGTCCACCCAAAGCACTGCAGGAATGGTGAAGACAAATTCGAAGATACCAGCAACGCCAGTTGCGAGGAGGTTGGTAGTGTTACCGCCGAGTTCAAGTTCTTTGAAGATCTGAACATCACGGTTAGTTATATCGATTCCTATCTTCGACGGAAAATACTTGCCTGAGGCGCGAAGTAGTTAATCGCGTTGATGCCGTTCCATTGTTGGAATGTCATCACAAGACACTAGATCACAGTCAGCTTCGCTCCGGGTACGCAAGGGGTCAACCGTACTGCAACAGTGGTCCGCTTGAAGAGTGACTTGTCCGTGACCAACGAAGCATAATCCTTCACACCAATCATGAATCGACTCTTGAAGGAATCGTCTTGGTACTGAGGGTACTTTTTCCTCGAAGTCTCTTGCTCAAACATCTTCAAAGACTTGATTTCGAGGTACTCGATGCGGACAAGTATGTCATCGGTTGAGGCATCGCGCAAGCGGGCCAAGGTGCTCAGGCACTCCTCTTCGCGGCCAGTATTCATAAGGTGTCGTGGTGACTGAGGCATGAAGAAGACCATGCCGAACGCTAAGATGATGGCTGGTAAGACTTGGATGCAGACCGGCACCTCCCAGGCCGCTTTGGACTGGCCATCGCCGGTGCCACCAATGTAGTTGGTACCATAGCAAATCTGCTCTTGTCATTAGTGCCAAGGACCAATGACGAAAGTTTATGGCTTTCACCTACCCAGAAGCTGACCATGATTCCGAAGGTGATCGACAGTTGTTGCACAGCGACAAGAGAGCCGCGAATCTCCGGTGGTGCCTGCGCCAGTCAGTTCTGAGAAGCAAGCAGCATTTGGTTCAGTCACCACGATCGGCATAAAACCTACCAGTTCAGCATTGTACAGTGGCACAATCATACTCAGACTACCCACTCCCAGACCGGTCACGAAACGACCACCGAACACGTAGCTTGGGTCTTTGGTGCATGCCTGCACAATGACACCGGCACAGAACACAATCACAGCCACAACAACCGTGAGCCGACGGCCCAGCGAGTCCGCGAGATATCCGTTGGCCAGAGTACCCACCCAGGCACCCAGCTCCAGAATCGACGTAAGCATGCCTTGCGCAGTACCGGTCTGCTCTGCATAGTGTTGGGTCTGTATCCGTCAGAACGTGTCACACGAGGAATAACATATTTGGTGCATACCGCGAGAATGAAAGAGTTCATCGTAAGAATGCCCGAGAACATGCCCTGGTTGTCTGAGAACAATGTAAGTATCTTCACAACATACTCCAGACGAAGTACCTACAGCCATAGACGAAACCACCCAGCGATGCAAACAATGCAATCGAAAAAGTCTTCTTGCTGCTGAGCAGGCCGCGCCATCCTACGCGGTTGCCCGCGAGCTCGGCGCGCTTGCCTGAGATAGCCTCAGCGCCCACACCAACAGCCATCGCGTCTTGTTATGTGGTCGTGAAGTGAATGCTGGCTATTGCGATGAGAAAAGAAGTCAATACAGACAGCACGAAGACGCGAAATACCCCCGGAAATGGTATGAGGAGAAGCTGGGTGATCGGCAAGCGGGGAAGAGAGGGGCGTGGGCTTTATAAATCGATCTGCGAGCCCGTACACTCCATGGGGGAGTCACGTCTTTCAGATCATGTCGGTTTCGCTGCCTGCATCTTCCCTGCTAGGAAGTTGCCGGTAAGCGTATGCTTCTGGATAGATGCAGCGTCACCGCATGTCATGCGATTCCCTCGTGGCCGGGTATATCGAGGCTTGATTGGGTCCAGCATTTAGCCTGACTTTCGGTTAGGTCTCGACGGTTGTCTCCGAGTGCCACTCGAAACAAGGCATCTGCAGCTCCTTTCCTAATCCGTAGGCGTTAACAAACCCCACGGGGGTGTTTGTGGTCGGGCGGGTTTGGTGTGGTTCTCGGCCTAACCCCGGACAGCCGGGATAGCCGGGAGCGACTTCATCCACCCGCGTCTGGGGTCAAGCTTTTCGTGTAGTACAGGGTTTCAACAAGCTCAAGCCTTCAGGCTTATTCGGCGGCGTGGCAGTTGCAATTAGGCCTCAGCGAAATTTGGCGGCTAATGGAGTCAGGAAAGGAGAGATAGAATGTCTAGGCGGGGAATCCCGCTGGCTAGGTCGGGGAGAGCAAAGGAGGGGAAATGCGGAGCAGCCACCCTCGGACGTCCATCGCATTTAGCCGGAAATGCCCAGTTGGACGATAATCAGCCCACAGGACTCGGCCCCAGTTTCTGAGCTCCAGTAGATAGTGAAGGGTCTCCATCGAATCTCATTGAATGAGGATCGGCTTCTGGTTCTCCGCATTGAAATCCCTTAAGATGTAGCAACAGCACGTGGTGTATCTGGCATATGATACCGGTCTGCCCCAATCGCATAATCTCACGTCTCGAATCGTTCGCAGCCGGTCAATATTGACTCATAATTGCCTGTATCCGCAGGTTCCGGTCTTGCGAGTGAAGGCCAAGACCTGATCAGGACGAGGATTAGGCTGTGTGCGTGCCGTGCCTGTAAAGCGCGTCCATTGCGCATGCCGAGTCTGCAGCACGGTGTTGGGGGCGCCACATCCGAACTATTCTCTTGCCGGGTCATCCAGAAGCTTCTCTCGGTCGGACTTCCTGAAGATTTCATTGTCCTTGTCTCATGACTCGGGAATTGCATGCCTGGTTGACGGCATGGCTGCGTCTGTAGTAGATTGCGTTGTTGTAGGTGGGAAGGAGCGGAAAGACTAGCGTTGGCAGGCAGGAAGGATGCCCTTCCCGAATGGGACTCCGCAATCACTTCCGATTTGAACCATACACCGCATAATCTAGTGGACAGTCATGCTAGCGACTAGAATACGCTGAGTATGAAGTATCGGTTGAATGATAAGATATTTGAAGCCATTCTGAAGATTATTATATCTCATGGTTTTCCCGCGTCTCGTAAGATCGCTGGCGGGATACATTGCCGTGCCGTCGAACATATATCTTGAACAGGCGGGCAGAAAACAACGTTGAAAATAAGAAAAGCTCACAGTCATGCAAGGTGGAATAGTGTATTTATTTAAAGAATCAGCATACAGACTTTCCGTATGCCAACAGAGCAACCCAAAGATTGAAACTACATTAGATGATGATAGTTTGGGGAGAATGCAGCAAAAAGGAAAAGCCGAAAAAAAAGAAACGACACCTGTGAGATTCGAACTCACGCGGGCGAACCCACTGGCTTAGCAGGCCAGCACCTTAACCACTCGGTCAAAGTGTCTAATTATTGAAGAGATTGAACTGACTATTTACTATATAGTACCGTAAATAAACTACTCCCTCTCAAGAATCTCCTTGACATGCCTCGGCAGGTAGTAATTTCTACTCAGCCCGGCCCACAGCGTTGCCTCCAGCCTAACGAGTCCTAGACATACCATCGAAGAACTCTGCTTCTGATTTCGCAGTTCATTTCGCCAGAGATCTACAAGACGTTTGGCGCGAAGAGCGTGGTCTTGTGTCGGTGCCTGCACTAGAAGAAGGATCAGGAAATTCGAGACGGTCGCAAAGCCGATACGGGACCCTTCGCTGTCAGCTCTATCGTTGTTCATGCAGTTCAAGAACAATGACATAACGATAGGGAATAACATACATGAGTACCAGAAGCCTGAAGTATCACCATAGCCAACCCGCATAACCATACGGAGCATCTTTGCTGCACAATTTTCGGCCGCTTGGAGCACCGCACTTCCACCTCCATTCTCTTCTGACAAATCGATCGCCAATGATGGCTCAAATTCGTCCACTTCGAATAACTGGTTGATGAGATCGTCGAACTGATCCGCGAGCCCGGGTATTGCGTGGGTTTCCTCATACAGGGGCGGCGGAGCGGCAGATCGGACCATCGGTCGTAGTAAAGCGCGAAAAACGAATACCTCTAAGAGGATGCAGGCGAAACGAAGGCAGCCCAATTGTGAGGAAACCCTCTCCATCGTGTTTGTAGGACGAGTCTGCTGGCGAAGAGATGCGGGCAAGTGCTCTGACCACTCTTTCAACTTCTGGAGAAGAGGACGGGCGGTCTCAAGCGTTGCGTGGAAATCAGAGCATAAACGCTGTGCTGACCTGAGCGCGCTACACAGAGAAAATGATCAGCATCTAAGCCGTCCACAATCTGGAATGACCTACTATAAGGACTGTTGCAGTTCATCCGCGATGCGAGACAGGCGGATGAAATGCTGGAACGGCTGAGCATACCAAACCTCATGCGAAGAGTTACAGTCGGTTGACGGGGACTGCAAGGCATCACGAAGACTATCCGAAACTGAAAAATCCTCTTCCCCCAAGTCGGTTACGTCCCATTCATCGTTTCTGATGTAAGACGGACGCCCCATAAGCAAGCTGCGCCATTTGTCTTCAGCGTACATCGCCCACCACAACCGACGACGTATTCTCCGCTCCCACGCCGGCAGACCCATTGGTTTGCATTCCAACTGAAGTCCAAGCGATGTAGCAATACCCACGAGCATACCCACGAAAGACCAAACCGACACGCTGTCAGCCACCGCGCCCTCCGTGGCACTGATGGGTCGGTGAAGATAGAGAATCCCTGCTTGTAATGTAGCTAAACGAGGAGTGTGACTCGCCTGCAAGACAAGTGCTAGGACCATGCGCCATAGTCGGTCAGTTGAAGGTAGAGAGTATGCATAGATGAGACAGAGATAATCGTCGAACTTGGCGAATGGCAATGCTGATGCGTAGATTGCAGCAAGAAGACATACAGGTGTCCTCTGAAGCGTACTTGGGTCTGGCACAGTACCAGCTGCTGCGAGATCGAATTGCGAGCAGGACAGAACTGGTAGTGTCGGGAATACGAATCTGAAGAAACTGTAATCTGATCAACAACTGCTGAAATAAACCAAGAGATCCGAGCCCAGCTTACAGTACAACCAGCCTCTGTCCACACTCCTGTGAAACAAGGCTATCGAGCTCCTCCCGCGTAAAGCTCGAGCTAGGATACTCTGGGCTCGGTTCCGAGGACTCATAAAGCCGATCGGCAGTCACCAGAAAATGCACTGGAATCTTCTCATCCAGCGGAACACCACCTGCGTTCCGAAAGTGCACTTGGTGGGACAAAAGGAACCCCTTGTCGTTGAACTTGCAGTGTCTCAGCAGCCACGGATCTGACTCTCCCGAAGCGCCAATGACTTGGTATGAGAATCCATCCAAGCCATCGAGGGTCTGAATAGTTTGGTGTGCATGCCTTTCGACGAAGGGAATCGGCGTCTGGGTGTGAGTATTGACAGAAGCCGAAGGGATCTCCGTAGGATCAGGGGCAAATAGGTCCAATGGCGGTGGATTGGTCGACAAATGTGCCGGATGCGATTGCTGAATTGACGAGACTTGCTCAGGCTGTGTGGAATTGATGGTCGCCACTTGTTGTGTTGGTGATGCGCTCGACCTTGACAGCGCGGCACCACGGCGCCGGTGGAGAGGATACGCAAAAGAACAAGGATAGCCAGCAGTCAGACATCGCTGGCAACTGCTGTGACTGTCGACCTGACATCGTAGTTTCTTCCGACGGCATTCGTCGCATGGCGGATGTCGCTTGGACCGGTATGGACGGGAACTGTTCGTTCTACAGCGAACGGCATTGGTCGAATGCAGAGGCTCTGGCTCCATGTCACCTAGTTCGGGTGCAGTTGAAGGGGAGATAAACAGAAACCGATGAGGGGAGCAAAGTAAGTATACGTCGAGATTAAGAGCAGGATGAGCGACGTTGGCCGAGAAGTTCGGCGAACTCGTCGTCTGATTCGGCTTCCGCTGGAACGGACCGCCGAATCCTCGGTTCATGTTGTCGGAAGGCGCGGACCTTTTGAGTTATTCAGCAATGACTCCACCCAAGGCATTGTTGATTGACGCTCAGAAAGAAACTTAACAATTCTTATGACGAAGGGCATGCTTGCTTGACTGGATATGGTTAAGATGTACGGGTGGAGGCTGTTAACAATCAACGCCTGCGGACATGCTATTGTGACCGCTTTCGCCACGTTAAGAGATATCCAAGATGTATTGATCAGACTCATCAGGAAGTAGGAATTATAGAATACTAGGTAGACTGAAGCGAAGAAGAACTTTGGAAGTACTGCAGTTGACGTGACGATGAATCTTCAACCCATTTCTACCATTATCGTGGGTCCACGATGGCCAAGAACCGAAGAATGATAATCGGGTCTGTTCAATTCATGGATGGTAATAGATAAGTGATATCCCAAGATCCGAGTACCAAAATCTACCAACGGTACCCATTTCCCCGACAGCAGGAACCAAAGCATTGATCGCCTTTTGTCGCATTAGCCCAGTAATATCTCTACAATGAGTACGGGTATTCGAACCATACATACCATTGTACGGCAAAGGAGTAGACAGCTTGCGTGCTTGGGTCTGCCATATGATAATAGCCATGTCTTTTTCATTTCTAGTCATCCAAGTTAGCAAAGCGTATCCAAGAGTAGAAAATAGCTTACTCATTATTCAACGTCGCTGTGGATGAAAGGTCATGGTATATGGGCCTACTATCTGTGGCGTTGTTCGAGTGACAAAAGAGAAGACGAAATCTGGCTTTGATATTGATTGCGCTGTCTTTGAGAGTCATGTTGCGAAGATGATGATAGAAAAGATGTGACGAGCGAACTTGAGCACTGAAAGAGGGTGAGACCGGATTATATGTCTGATATGATTCTGGTTAAATGCAGACCATGCAGTAGCTCACTGACAATTTCCGGCAGGAAACGATACAAGGGGATTAGGAACATTGTCGAGTCGGCGGACGAATAGACCAGAACATGGTTGCCAGATGCAGCACAGTGCTGTCAGCCAAAAGGTACTGCTGCTATAGCTTGCTGACCTGAATTCCTGCTTCGCCGAAAGCTTTGGCTATGCATTATTTCGCCGAATGAATCCATGTCGGGCTGCTTCGCATAAAGCAGACCTAAGTTCTGTCTTGAGACCTGAGAAAGTGAGCATAGTTACAAGCTTGCTTTTGTCATAGAATAATCACGGATAATGACTTGATACACCTGAATCCACAGAACTAACTATACAAGCCTAACGGTTCTTCTTGATTCTGTAACGGTATCTATATCTACATTATCGACAACCATCTTCTATCTTCCACCCTAGATTAACCGGCTTCATATGATTCGACTTTGACATGTATTTTTGAGTATGCCCACGCATAAAAGAGGAGATCAAGTGTTCAGAATTGCCTTCAGAACCTTGTCCTGAGAGCCCATCCCGCACAAACACCCCGAGCAATAGCGAAGGCCACGGCAGCAGCAGCATACAACACACCTCCAAACACAATAAGGCCCCAGTAGTCACCTTGGTCTTGCTGCTGTATTGCACCCGCAATTGGAATCCCAGTTAGTGTCCCTACACTGGCAATAGTGAACGTCGTTCCGGTCCTCTTGCCCAGGTCCTGCGTCTCACAGATTTGCGAGATACAAACTGGTGTGAGGCTGATCGCAGCACCGCTCCAGAAACCAAAGAAAACTGCATAGCAGACAATGGCAGCGATATTGTCGCCAGAAGCAAGCCATAGAGCCAGTGTGAGAGCCGCACACACGATGGAGGTCAGGACCATCACGTTGAATCTTCCAATTCGATCGGCTATGAGGCCAGGGAGGAAGCGTCCCGGGACGGCGCCTAAATTAAGAAAGACAATCAAGGCGTAGGAAAGTCTGTCGTTCAGTCCGACGTGAATTGCATACGAGGCAATATAGGTGATCGGAATGAAGACAGCAAACTCCACAAGGAATACTGCTATTGCGATGGCGGCGTATTTGCCGTCCCGGAGAGCACGTAGATCGACAGATGCGCTAGCGCCTTTGCTGCGAGGTAGGCGGGTTTTCAGCGTGAAACAAGCGATCAGACAAAGTATAGCAGAAAGAAGCGCAATGATGCGAATCGCCCAGGCGAATCCGATTTTGGGCGCTGCGAACAGAATGATCAAGGGGAAGATGACTCCTCCTAGGCCACCAGCGGTGCAGGCTATCCCGGTCGCATAGCCTCTTCGTTTGTCGAACCAGTGTCCCACGCAAGAGACTGTCGGAGTGAAGAGAGTGCATGCGGAAAGCCCGCCTAGGACACTGAAGGATAGGAATATCTGGTAGTACTCTTACTTCTGTTAGCTGGCTGGGATTTCTTGTCAGGGGACGCAAAGCAAGGCTACCTTGACTGAAACTCAAGCAAATCAAAGCCACAACAATCCCAATCGAGCCTGGAATAATGACGTAGTTGGGTCCATAGGCGTCGAATATTGGTCCTAGTTGCTGCTCAGTACCAGCTTGTCAGAACGATTAGACAGACCTACCAGCTTGCGCTCCAGCAGCATACAGAAAGAAACCATATGCCCCGAAGATCCAGCCAATGCTCGACTCAGAGTACTCCACAAGCTGGTGCTTACTCGTCCATGCATGCAGGATACCCAGACTGTTGAGGAGACCCATCGATGGGATCATGGCGCACCATGCTCCAAGCACCACAGACCACGCCTCAAACCCTCCCTCAGGGTATGTGGTGCCTGACATTTCCGCGCCCTCAGGAGCTCTCCGAAGAGAATTTTTGCGTGATTTCCCTAGCATGGGGAATTGGTGGTATTGGGGCCGGGTCGGGTGCGAGGTTCTGAGGGTGCAAAATATCACGGACTGGCCTTCCTTGGAGGATACCGGGCGCGTAATAAAAGGTCTGGTGGGTCACAATTTGTCCCATAGCAACTCGATTCCATAATTTTAGAATAGTTCACTACTTAATAATGTAGTACTATCTCGGTTTATTGTTTTGTTGATTGAAGATCAATGCTATGATTTCGGCGAACATCGGCGAAATCGAGCGATGATTGGCCTTGGCTGAGTGAGACGATCTGTGGTTCGCCGGAAGGGCTTCTGACTGTTCATGTTGAATGAAGAGTTAGGCGATGCTTAATTTCAGGAGGGAGGTCTCTGGACTGACGACTAAAATAATTGACACGTTATACTCAGTTCTCGGAGGAATGGGCCTTGAAGGAGTCTCCAGCTTTGCAAAAGGTTCTAGAGCGAGTCTTAGGTCGAAGAATAGCAAGAAGAAAGATGTTCGACATTCTGTGGTGTGTGAAGCCACCTTATAACAATAGCCATAGCTCCAAAATACGTTATTCATGAGGCTAGAAGGGATGGTGTTGATTGCAGGGTTTGTGAACGCGAGGGGAGGAAAGACAGTCGGCTTCTCGCCCTTCTGGAGGGCAGGTAGGCCTTGGCCATCACTTCTTCACGATCGTTCGACACTGCTCTCTACCTCACCACTCGACCCCTTTCTTTCTTCTGTAAAGTGGTTTGAATTGACTTCAGGACAAGCTTCGACAGATTCGGGTGGTTGTCATTCTCCCAATGATGGGCTCAGCCATCCGATTCTCAAAGTGAAGCCGGAGTGGCCTGAGTGACTGCAACTTCGTCTGATCCAGTGAACTCATCCTCCTTTGTACATCGTCAAGACCCGAACGCTATCTTCTGCTACTGATCTTGCTTCTCACTTACTTCACCTGTCTCTACCTACACATCTCATGTTCACCACGTTCTTTCCCAACAATCTGCATCTATCTTCAATCATCTACAACTTGCTGAACCCTCTCGTACCCTACCCACACCCAAAATTTCTTCGGCCTACACCAGAAACCCAGAACAATTATTTATATCTTCAAGGCGACCTGTTTACCACCAGAGTCCCACAAACACCCTATAACCGGTTGCACCACTCAACACCTACAGAAATGTCCGAAGAGGGAGCTCCGGGCTATACCAGCCTGGCAGATCCCGCTTTGCTGGACAAGATAGACAGTCTATTCGCATGCAACGTCGGAGAATACATCAATCTTCCCCAGCTAGTTGTCGTGGGTGACCAGTCCAGTGGCAAAAGTTCCGTCCTCGAGGGTCTCACCCGGCTGCCATTCCCCCGCGACAGCGGGCTGTGCACTCGTTTCGCAACTCAGCTCATCTTTCGCCGTAATAAAAACCTTACGACCAGAAGGATCTCTTCGTCGATTATTCCCGCGTCAGACTCACATCCAACAAGGGCTGGAGAGCTACAGGCTTGGGGTGCAAGCTTTGAGGGCAGCCTAAGCCCAGTCGCTTTTGCTGCAATACTCGAGGAGGTAAGCACCGCTTGGAGTTTCTGCAATGAAGTTTCCTGGAGGGCTGGCGATGCAGAAGGCTCGGGCTGTAGTTGGCGCAAGCATCTACGAGCTGTGCCTAACAGCTGTGGCACAGAACCACTTTTGCTAATAGAACTCTAGGCGCACAGACTGATGGGTGTCTCCACTCGTGACAAGCCTACCAGGTTGACATTTTCCAAAGACATATTCCGGCTGGAAATCTGCGGACCTGACGAGGACCATCTCAGCGTTATTGACGTCCCTGGCATCTTCAAGTTGACTACACCAGGACGCACAACCAAAGCTGACATACAGCTCGTGAGGGAGATGGTCTTGGGATACATGAAAAATCCGCGGTCCATCTTATTGACGGTCGTCGCGGCAAATGTCGACGTGGCGAACCAAGAGATCATCGAGATGGCACGGGAGGTAGATCCCGACGGAGAGCGGACCCTAGGGGTCTTGACTAAACCCGACCTCGTCGACAAAGGGGCTGAGCAGAAGATCCTGGACATCATCGCTGGGCGAGAGCTCCCCTTGAAATATGGTTGGATTCTGGTTCGAAACCTGGGGCAAAGAGAGATGGAGAAAGGGACTGTTGACAGAGACACTGCAGAAGCCGAGTTTGGTAAGACTGAGTTGTGGAACACAGTCGCCGCGGACAGATATGGCATAAGCTCCTTGAAAACGCGCTTGCAGGAGACGGTCACCGAGAATGCCAGAAGGGCATTTCCTCTTGTTAGTAGTACGAACAGGAATCATGAGTGACATGTGCTAACAGCCTAGCAGGTCCGAGCCGAGATCAGCAAAAAGCTCAAGGACGCCAAAACAAGCTTGGATATGCTGGGAAGTGAGAGAGATACCACCAGCCAGCAATTAAGATATCTTCTCGATGCGGTGACCAGGTTCAATATTATCACAACCCAAGCTCTAAGCACCCATTATGGTGCCGACAAGAACTTTACCAAATACAAAGAGCTTCGCCTCGCCACTTTGGTTGTCAACCGAGAAGTCTCTTTCGCACGATCGTTCGAAAAATGGGGTCAAAAATACAGATTCGAGAAAAACAGTATCCGTGAGGACGTCGAGATTCTTTCCCCCACCGACGGCGGGATTGAGCATATGCAATTCTCTGCTACCACGCGACCAGAAGCATCAAGTTCCCACTCTACGGGGGAGGGAGATTCTGATCGCCATGTTTCCCGTCCTCCCAGATTCAAGACCCGGATGACTGAGCCCGTCATGGAGCTGGAAGATGTCCTCACTAACCAGGAAATCATTGAGAAGCCCTTGAGGCACGGTATCTATGAATGGCTACGAGATGAATATCGCAACTCACGCGGGTTTGAACTCAACAATTTCAGCATTACCATGTTGACCAATGTCTTCAACAAGCAGACCATGAAGTGGCAAAGCATTGCGCTGGGCTATCTCAGTGATGTCATCGTCACCGTCCACAACTTCATCATGCGCAATTTGCAGATCTGCCTTGCGGATCGACGGGTCTTTCGCAATCTGCTGCCGTATCTAATGGGCGACTTGCTAGAAGTGTATCAGGGCGCAATGGACCATGTGTGGCTTCTCCTTTACATTGAGCGGGAGGGCACACTGAAAACCTTGGACCATTATTTCAACGACCAACTGCAGACAATGTGAGTCCGTTCGTCAACTCGCGCGCGCACACTTGTCGTGGCTTTCACTAGAACCCATGCTAATCTTCAAATAGACGCCAGTCTCGGTGGAAGGCCTACGTTGAGGAAAAACAGGTTAACGGAATCCTCCATGTTGGCGACCTTGATTACCGACAGGACATGAGCAACGAGAGCCACACAGTGCAGGACCTACATGATATCTTAAGGTCATACTACAAGGTAGCGATGAAACGGTTGGTGGACAACGTCAGCATGCAAGCGGCCGATTACCATCTGGTGAACGGGCCCAACGCACCGATGAAGCTGATTTCGCCCGCCTTCGTGCACAGCTTCTCTGCCGAGACGCTGCAGGAGATTGCAAAGGAGGATCTAGCAGTGCGCAGAAGACGGACTCAGCTAAAGAAGCAGATCGCGGAGCTGGAGAATGGCAAGCGGCTTTTGGTCTAGGTAGTAGCGGGTAGCGAGGTGACATTTTGGGTGATGGTGATCTTGGGAGAAATGATTCCTTGCTTGGCGGTGAACTATATACGGACACCCCGCTCATATTTGAATGGGCTCTGGCTCTTTAATGATCTTGGCGCAACTTTAATCGCCTTCTAGTGTATCCAATGGAAGCGATATCACACCACACTCTCCCACATGCAACGCCCACCGGCTGGCCCCTGGGTTGGATGCGTATAATGGCCATGGATGTAGTGGTAGCGCAAGCGAAGCCGCCAATGCGCGTTAGCGAGTGGGGAAGCATAGGGAAGCTCCGCCGTGAGCTGTCAGCCCGGCAACGGCCCGCCCTGCGCCCCATTCCGCATTCCTCGGTGATAAACCAACGATAAGTTAAATGAACCACTAACCCGGTTGAACCTAGCCCAACAACCGCGGTAGCTCGTGCTTTCTCCATCTTAAAAGCCGAGCTCCCCTCTAATTCCCCCTCAAAATACATCTCCAACTCAATCCTCCTACTAACACTACTGCAACGGGAGTCAGGTAGACCACCAACACACCAACAAAATGGGCTACACAACGCAAGCCGAATTCGACGAGGTCAGCCCCTTCCCTTCCCTTCCCTCTCCCATCCCCCCCAAACCATTCCCCCACCCACCCAAGCCAACCCACTAACGCGCAAAAAGGCCCTCCGCACCGTCCGCACAACCTTCGCGACCGGCCGCACAAAACCCCTCGCCTGGCGGCGCCAACAACTCCGGCGCCTCTGGTGGATGCTCGAAGACCACCGCCCCTCCATCATCGCCGCGCTGCAAACGGACCTCCACAAGTCCGAAGTGGAGACCACACTCGTCGAGATCGGCATGCTGCAAGCGGACATCCTGCACACCCTCGACAAGCTGGCCGAATGGACCGCCGACGAGAAGCCCACGCGCCTCGACCCCGTCAACCTCCTCGGGGGCACCGTCGTGCGCACCGAGCCGCTGGGCGTGACGCTCATCATCGGCGCGTGGAACTGTCCCTTCCAGCTGGCTTTGCAGCCGCTCGTCGCGGCGATTGCGGCGGGGTGCGCGGCGATCGTCAAGCCGTCGGATGTGAGTGCTGCATCCGAAGAGGTTTTGGCGCGGATCATGCCCGAGTATTTGGATCCCGAGGCGGTGCGGTGTGTGACGGCTGGCCCGGCGGAGATGGAGTATATTCTGCAGCAGAGGTGGGATCATATCTTCTATACGGGGTCGGCGAAGATCGCCAAGATTGTGCATGCCGCTGCGGCGAGACATCTCACGCCGGTGACGTTGGAGTTGGGCGGCCAGGGGCCGGCGATTGTGACGGAGTCGGCCGATGTGGAGATGGCCGGGAAGAGGATTGCGGGGGCCAAGTTTTTGTTGGCCGGGCAGGTTCGTTTCTTCTTTTTCTCTTATGTTGGCTTTGGTCTGGTCTGGGGAAGAGATTAAACTGAAGATGCCAATCTTTATGTGGAAAGTGTGGGATTACGAGTAATACTGACGATGCGGCAGGTCTGCATCAACGTCAACCACATCCTCGCTCACCCCACCATCCGCGACCCCCTCGTCGCCTCCCTCGCCCGGTGGTTCGACACCTTCAACGGCGGCCCAGACAGCATCCCCCCCTACAGCTGCCACATCGTCAACGACCGCAACTTCGACCGCCTTGAATCGCTGCTCAGCCGCACGTCTGGTAAGATCGTCTACGGTGGCGTCCGCGACCGCAGCAGCCGGTACTTCGGGCCCACGATCGTCGTCGACGTCCAGCCGGACGACGTCCTCCTCACTGAAGAACTCTTCGGCCCGATTCTCCCGATCGTCGACGCCGACCTCGACGCCGCGCTCGCCTTCACCACTTCCCTCGAGCATCCGCTGGCCTTGTACGCGTTCACGAACGTCGAGGCTGAGAAGGACCGGATTCTGCAGACAACAAGCTCCGGCGGAGTCACATTCAATGATTGTCTCCTGCATGCCTTGGCAAAGGATGCCCCCTTCGGCGGTGTGGGCCATGCTGGCATGGGCGCGTATCACGGGAAGTACGGCATCCAGGCGTTCTCGTATCGGCGGACGGTCACGAATGCGCTACCGAGTGTTCTGGAGGGGTTCATGGATGCGAGGTATCCGCCTTATACTCTGGAGAAGATGCACAAGATGATGCCGAAGGTGACGCCGTCGTTTGATCGCGACGGGAATGAGAGGAGTTCGGTGGGCAAGGTGGCTGGCGCGGTGGGCGCGGTGGCTGCTCTGGGCGCATCGGTCTGGTTTCTGGGCGGTGCCAGGGAGAGGATTCCGGCTTATGTGAAGGGGTGGTTGCGCTAGGCTTGTGTCTACGCTGTATCTGTGTCTTGTTAGCTATCGATTGTAATGGATCTGTACAGGATTTGGGTTGACTTCGTGCTTGCTTTGATGGATGCTTGTATTTCGCTGTGGAAAGGACTATGACCCGCTCAGCCGACTCGATCACCTACTGATCATGAGCTCGTCTTAGCTTCACCTTTGACTGCAAAGGCTACTAGACTCCAACACCGCGATGAGGTGCGAGCTCCCGTTGGAGGCCTGTCTCCCATCCAGGCAACAACGCAAGCGTTGTGTTTTCGTCTAATGCTGCAGCCGCCATCTGCCCGCCAAAACAAGCGCGATGACCCAGCACCAAAGACCACATACACCGTCTCATCCTTAACGAGCTCAAGGACTCGTCCTAGGAGAGTCAGGTGTAGCGAGGAGAAGGCAACAAAGGAAATCTCACCCACACACCACTCGCACATGCATCCACACAAGCACCAGCACCAGCACACAGCTCAAGCACAACGGTACGAGTACCAGTACAAGCTTCTAGTACAGGCACCAGCACCAGCACAGACACACAGGTCGTGATGGTGGCCTGAGCTAAAAAACGAACCGTTAGACGAGGCATCATGGGCAACTCATTCCCTTCCACTCCCACCGGACGGCGACAGCTTCCAGTAAATGAACCCACCAGATCTCGCCTGGTGCAACTGCGCAGTTTCCATATCACAGAGGCAATGGAACTGGCTGGGTTCCCTCAACCAACGAGTCGGTCGAAGATCTGATTCCAGCACGAACGCAGGCCGGCTCGCAGTCCGTCCCCGCATGTCAGCTGTTCCCAGGACCATTGGAAGCCAAGGTACCTGGTGGTCAAACCTCGACAAGGTCTGTGGTCGCCTTGATCAGCCCGCGGATAGGACTCCCGAACATAGCATATCTTCCCGACTGGTAGGGAAGGCCATGTTCTACCCTCGGGAAGCGTTTTTCTTCCTCAGGGAAGCGTCTGTCTTCCTCGCGGAAGCATCTTCATGGAGATGCTCTCCAGACAACATGGAGATGTTGTTTGGGAAGAAACCCCATGCAAATCTCTTCTTGTTCCCATAAAAGAAATCAAGAAGCAGCGCTGATCAGAGTCGAATACACCCAACAACACCAGTATTGGTGTCGTAGAAGCATAATAACCCCTCTGTCCATGTCACCCTAACTTTCTCTAAGAGAGCGATAAGCTGACTGCTCCACCAGTAATACCAAATATCTTGGTTTCCTGAAAGAACCTCTGGCCTGCTGGTCATCCTGTTCTCTCAAATCGAGTTCCCAAGACAAAAGCCGGTCAGGATAGACAGTTCAGCGTCGTTCCCTCAATCTGTTCACGATGTTTCGGGGTCACCCATTTGTGAGACAAGGCTGAAGCCGAGTCCGTACGCGTAATCGCCCACATCTTGCCAGACGTTTGGGAACGAGTCCTCTTCGCAACTCTCTTGCACAACCTGTGCAGGAGCTTGTAGAAAGAGGACATGGCACCTTGCCAAAGATCATCTCAAATTGAGCATCTTCGGCAGCACGCCTGGTTCTGTGGTCATTCCCCAACGACTCCAGAATCGGTCGCCGCTGTATGAGGATGCCCAGAACCCCCCAGTTGATTTTTGAAGATCGGGCAAGGAGAACTGGGGCCTGACATGGATCACAGCACGGCAACTTGCACAGCTATGATATGTCAGGAACCCTCGACATTTTGTCAAAGGGTCGTGCGGAGGTGAGTAGGGAGGAGGGAGGGAAGAGGATGGAGGAGAGGCGGAAGTGAGAATCACAGAGGGGGATACACGCTGGGATACAAACTGAGATATACACTAGAAACAAGAATCCGAGATGAGAAAAGGAGCATGGTACATTGAGGCATTGGGATGAAAAACACAACCAAATGATGAAAAGAATTAAGATGGGATACAGGATGATGATGAATACAGGATGATGATGAATACAGGATGAAGAAGGATACGAGACGATGATGGATACATGATGAGATGAAATACAAAAATGATAAAAGGCAGGAAAAGGACATGTTACGTGATGGGGAACAGGACGGTGGAAGGTGATAAAAGAAAAGAGGAGGGAGAGGTGGAGGAAGGATGGAGGAAGAAGAGAGGAAAGACGAAGACTTATATAGACAAGAAAACATGTCAATGCCCAAGGTCAGCTGATTTGGATCGACTCATTCACTCAGTCGCTACGATTACCTAGTGATGCCTGGCTATCAGTGAATGTACCTCACTATTGAGGATCCACAGACGCATAGATAGGCTGCAGCATTAAACTCAGTGGAATCTACGAAACTACAGGACTAGATCTTAATATCACGTGTGCTACTCGAGCTCGTCTTAGCTTCGCCAATCTATGGCTACTAGACTCCAACACCACGATGAGGTGCGAGCTCCACGTTGGAGGGATGCGCAGAGGTCGGTGCGCAAAGAAGCAAGGAAGAAGCTTGGGATGCGAAAGAGGGGTTGGAGAAGAGGGGGAAGTAAGAATAGGAGTATCTATATAGTCTATATAGATAAGAATAGAGAGGAGGGAGAGGAGGGAGAGGAGGGAGAGGAGGGAGAGGAGGGAGAGGAGGAAGAGGAGGAAGAGGAGGAAGAGGAGGAAGAGCAGGAAGAGGAGGAAGAGGAGGAGAAGAAGAAGCAGGAGAAGAAGAAGAAGAAGAAGAAGAAGAAGGAGAAGAGTAGAAGAAGAAGTAGGAGAAGGAGCAGAAGGAGGAGCAGGAGGAAGAAGAGGAGGGAGAAGAAAGAGAGAGAGAGGACAGAGAGAGGACAGAGAGTAGAGAGAATGTAGGAAGATTAGGGAGGAGGAGAGAGTTGTAGAAGAGAAGAAACGGACAGGGAGGCAGAGAGGAAAGACGACTGGTTTTGTTCAGCAAATCTGATTCATCCTCAGCAAAATTTGCAGGACATTCTACAATTCTGACGCTTTCTATTGCTTCACTATTGCGGCATCATGAAGACTTCCTTGTCATCTGGCAGAAAGTTCTGCTGGATGGCCTGCTCTGACGCGATATTGACTTAATAGTTGCGTTGTTCTGTTCCATGAGATTCTTTGATGACCGCAACCGCTGTCACCTTCGACGTGTCTAGGATTGGGGCCAGAGACCTCCATAATGTCTATGAGATGACAGCGACGCATGTTGGGCAAATCTAACGAATATGATACAACTAGTCTACCGACACAACCACTCATCGATCCTCCTCGAGAGCCGCACACACCTGGCATCGACCACCCTCGTCCACCAACTCGATAACCAAACCACCAAAACTCCCATCACCATAGCCGTGACTCCCCAACTGACCACAAACACCCCCATACCCCCAGCAAGTGCCTCCTCATCCGTCGCCGGGTACTCTCGCCCGGTCAGAAGCCACCACAGTCCGTTCCGTACCGGATCCCGGGCAACATGATACACCGACTGATGCACCAGATACAGCGAGAACGAGATGCGTGCGAGGAACTGCGGCGTCGGCCTCTCCAAAGCCCTCTGCAGCACCTCCACGCGATCGATGGCATACACCACCAACAGCGACCCCACCGTCTTCCAGCATTTACTCACAATCGCCCAGTCGTCATCCCACCGCGGCGACTGCAGCGACCCCAGCCATTGATACCCAGGCGTAAGTACCCCATCATCCCCGAGACAGAGCAGATGCAGCCCCATGAGAAAACAGAACCCTGTCACCAGCATCCTTGCTTTTGCTTTCAGGCCACTGGCTGACGTGCTTGACAGACCGGCCTCGCTGTCCTTCCTACCAACCCACCACCCTTCGCCCAACACCGCATCCCCACCACTCGAGTGCAACGCCTGAGCAAGCTCCGCAACCCCCAATCCTCCAAGAAAACCCACCCCATCCCAGATCCCATACCACAGAAAATACAACGCCAGCACGAACACTCCCCCGACGCGCATCTCCTTCCTCCAGAACGCCATCCCCAGAATGACAAGAAACACCATCAAACTCCCGCGGAACTCGATCGGCATCGTCCATAGCTGTCCATTCAACCCGGGATTATGATGGAACTGGATGATATTCACAATGTCCAGCAGATACCGCAAGAGATAGGTGAAATGGAACACCGGCGCGGTCCACGGCCGCCGACCCCAGACGACATCATCGCCAAACGACCAGTGATACAAGCCACAGAAAAACAGCAGCTGCGAGAGGATGGCGACAAGAAAGACCGGCAGATAGATGCGGAAGATCCGGCGAGTCGTCGCGGAGGAGAGTCCGCGGAGCAGGTTTTGGTTCGTCGCGGACGACGCGGTCAGCGAGGAAGACGGCGCATCGCGGAGACGAAGCAGGTTGATGCTCAGAGCGTAGCCCGAGATCACGAAGAATAGCGCCACCATGGCGTGGGCGGAGAAGAGCAGGCGGATCGGGGGCAGTTGGATGAAATGGCGGTTGGCCGAGGCGGGGTCCGCCCAGTAGGAGTGGAAGGCAAAGTCGAAGATTCCGCCCATGAAGAAGTGGTTGAAGGCTACTATGGCGGCTGCGAGGCCGCGAAGGCCGTCCAGCCACGATGTGCGAGGTTTTTCCATGATATGCTCCATTGTATGCTGTGATAATGATGGAATCATTAACCGCAGTATTGCAGTTAACGAAAGCGGGAGAGGCGGAGGGGATAAGACGGAGGAAGAAAAAGGGATCGATCCATGAATGGAGACTGGACTCGGATCCACACGCTAAATTAGTATTTTTAGCGTGCGATCATGACTGGTCCCTGTCTCTGATTCTTCAGGCGGCTGATTGTAATGATGAACAGGGTTTATTTCTGCTGGGGTATATACAACATTTCCCGATCGGGTAATCTCACGCAGGCATCTACCGCACTACCGGCGTTGCTGCCTACTCATTACAGGTCACTACAGGCCGCGTTCCAATGCTCGACTCTCCTCGTCAACCAGCCACTGGTCCACGGTAGCGAGCTCTGCCGTCTGGAATCGCCCTCGGGGATCCCGCTTCCCAGCCGGATCATACTATCGAGCATACATCGATCCTCATAGAAGCTCCACTGCACGCACTCGCCCCAGGCTACGCAGGCAGCCTCGCACCTATCCACCGACATCCAGGCCTCCTTCCAGGCCTGCGGCTTGGTGACGGTTTCTGGCACCGTCACTGCCTTGACATTACTGGAGCGGATATCGTACTTGGCCGCGCCATTCTCCCACCACTCCACCCGCTCCCGCAAGTACGGCAGCACCATCGCCTCATACACATCCCTGTACCGGATGGGGCCCCGGGCCTGCACGTCGCCCCACCGCATCTCCAACTCGTACAACCGGGCCACATCGCGGTTGTGCGTGTGGTGCCAGCTAAACACGGGCTTGCACCAGTTCTCCTGCTCGTACCAGCTCGTCCAATGCGCCTCGGGATTGAACCCGTAGCTGAAGCGACTGTCCTCCGCCTCCGGATGCTCCCCGAACCCCACGCCACTCTCCTTCAGCACATGGCCGAGAATGTGGTCCCCGCACCCATGCTGCGCCGTGAATTCAGCATACTTCTCCTCGATATTGACTTTCCCACCCCCAAACGCCATCTCCCACGCCTTGCGCGAGATGGCGAACCCGGACCCACCGTGCGCGAAATAATCCCCATGGATCCAGGCGACGCTGCCCAAGTACCAGGGTTGCCGGTGGTCGAAGCGCTCCAGGTGCGCGAGGAGGTTGGGCAGGAAGAGGTAGGCGTCATCCTCCATGAAAATGTACCATTTGGCGTCCGGGCGGGCGCGCCCCGCGTGCTGCACCAGCGGCAGGAACTTGTACTTGTCGAGCTTCCAGCCGCCCGCGGGGCCGGAGTTATCACCCGGATACACGTTGTTGATCTCGGCGTAGTTCTGGCGGAAGTCGTGGTCGGCCTGTTGGCGGTAGGGGAGGGCGATCTCGGGGTCGCTGATGGTCGTGTTGGCGAGGACGTCGATGAAGGTCCACGCGCCGATGGTCTCGGGGCTGTCGGAGTAGAGGAGGACGTTGGCGGGAGGGATGCGGGTGGGGGCGAGGGTGGTGGTGAGGTGGATGGGGACGCGTTTCCAGAGGACGGAGGCGCCGGTTTTGAACATGAGCACGATGTCGTTGACGGTGAGGGAGGAGGAGGAGGAGGAGGTGGTGGTGGTGGTGGTGGTGATTTTGTCGGAGGCAGAGGAGGTGGAGGAAGCGGAGGAGGCTACCGCCGAGGGAGCGGGTTTCTGCGGTGTGGAGGTGTTTTCATCTTCGGCGACGAAGGGAGGTGAGGGGTGCACAACTACAGTGGCCTCTCCTGCTTGGTAGGGTGTTTGCGTGGTATACGCAGTCGACGAGACCCATGGGGGGCGATCGAGGGCAAAATGGTAGAGGAAGAGACAGACGGTCACCAGGATGATCCCGAGCGGGACGCGACGGTTGTCTTGGTAAAACCGACGCATGATGAGTGTCTTACCTCCGATCATGAGCTTGCTCGTGCAAAAGCCGGGTGCATAACGGTAAGGGTTTTATATCTTGGGCTACAGCCAAAGTTAGCAGATAGCGATTGTACAAAACTGGTAAGTGGTGATTTGATCATGGATAATTCCCCCTCAATAGATTTTCGAGGGTCCTCTGTCTGACCCCTATACAAAACCCCAAAAACCCCACCACAAAAATTAGTTAAATGAATGTCTCAGGCGCAAAGCAGCGTGATTGGCAGGTGCCTGGCAAGACATGGACAGATGCCTGCGCTAAGCCCACTTGGGCTACCACGGACAACTGAAGGCTCAGTGTTGTCTTGCCCGAAATAGTTTAGAGTGCGGCTATTGCAGTTCTGCAGGCCAATTCCGGCCAAGGGTTTAAGGAGTAAAAATAATCTCCGTGTCTGCAGTCAAACCCGCGCCGATACGAGCCACACGAGTGTCTTGCCATGGCCTATCATTAGATACGGTCTACCGAATCACAGCTCATGTTTCTACACAAGCAAGACCCATTGGCACTTGGCCTCTCAATACCGGGGATTGCTTTGGCCAAATTCAACGGTATTACTCGGTACTACTAGTTGAACTCTCTGACTAGCACTGACTCCAGTCTAGGGACTAGTCAACTCTACTAGTGAATCCATCATTGAGATTTTTTTGCGGGTGACTCCATCATGGCTCCATCTGCGGTCCCCCGTTCAATAGGGGACCAAATAAATACACCAATGCATCCGATGCAGCACCCCGAAGAATGTAGTCGTAAGCAGACACAGCGACCCGGACCATCCTCATGGACCACCCACCGATAATCCCCCAACGGGGGCCCCAAGTGCCGCTGCTGCGTCAGATGCTTAACGGGCTGGGCTGTCTGCTGGTGCTGCCACTGTACTACTACCTCACCGCCGCCACCCGCCATCCGCTCACCTTAGACCTGCTCCTCACCATCCTCGCCGCCGAATACAACCGCTTCACCAACGAGCGGCGGCGCCGCCGCGTCTCCCAGCCCACTGCCGCTGCCGCTGCCGCCGATCCCGAGAAGCCGCGGGTGATGGAGGCGCATTCGGCACCGGACTGCATGGCGGCGGTGGTGGGCTACCGCGAGGACCCGGGGCTGTTTGCGCGGGCGCTGAACAGCTACCGCGCGGCGGAGGGGTGTCGCTTCATGCTGGTGGGGATCGACGGCGACGAGGAGGCGGATATGGAGATGGTGCGCGTGTTTCAGAACGTATGCCATCCTGTCCCTTCTGTACAATCCAGCTACAGTTCACAGTCCATCACTAACAAACAACAGATCTACCCCGACGCTCCCACCATCCACCTGGACACACCGCTCGGCGACCTGGCCACGCGCACCTTCGACAAACTGGCCACAGCGGACCTGCACGCCTCGCCGGAAGAAAGCTACCAACTCGCGAGCATCGCGCACTGCTGCGACCTGGCGCGCGAGATCCTGGGAGAACACGACCTGCTCTCCGGCACGGGCCCGCCCCAAGTCTGCATCTACCAGCCGCACCACAGCAAGAAGGCGATCATGTTCACGGCCTTCATCTTCAGCCTGGTGCTGGCGGACGCGCGCGGGATCGAGTACCTGTGGTCGTCGGACTCGGACACGCTGGTGTACGCGGACTCGCTGCGGCGGACCGTCGCGACCATCGCGGGCGACCCCGCCGTGGGCGGCGCCAGCTCGGGCCTGCTGGTGCACAACGCGGGGGATTCGGTCGTGGCGCAGCTGGGCCGGATCGTGTACTGGTGCGAGCTGTACCTGACGCGGTCGGTGGCCACGGCGGCCGGCACGAGCGACTGCCAGAGCGGGCCGAGCTCGGCGTTTCGCGTGACGGCGCTGCCGGGGATTCTGTATCCGTGGTATACGCAGGAGGTCTGGGGGCATCGGATGGTGAGTCTAGCGAGCCCCCGCACTGTTGAGCCCCGGAAGGGGGGCGAACCGCCCTTCTTGAAGAATCAAGCCCCCGGCCATCCTTACCATCATGACCATGCTGACAAAAGCCAACGAAAGATCGTCAACGAAGACCGCCACCTAACGACCAACCTCCTCCTCCGCGGCTGGACCGTCACCTACGTCTCCGACACGCTAACCGCCACCGACACGCCGACCAACCTCCGTAAATGGATTCTGCAGCAGGTACGCCCTTGCCCCCAGTGCCCCAAAACCCCAACCTCCCCATCCGCCCATCCCCTCCAAAATATATTAACAATACCAAGGTCCGCTGGTCCCGCTCCGGCCACATCGAATCCCTCCAATCACCAACCCTCTACCTCCTCACCTCGCCCCTATTCTTCTGGGCCGCCATCAAGCGCGAAGCGGGGCCCCTGCTCGGCCTCGGCTATATTCTCTATTACCTGTGCACCGGCGCCAGCCTGGCCTACTTCTCGTGGACGGATCTGGCCGTCCGCCTCGTCTACACGATCCTGTACAACATCCTCCGGAACCCGGATCGCAGCGTCCGAACGCTCGTGTTATGGGTCGGTCTGCTCCCGGCGCTGCTGTTCTACAATATCCCACTCCCCATCGTGCATTTCTGGAGCGCGGTGACCGTGCTCGAGGATGGGTGGGGGACCAGTATGCGCTCCAAGGAGGCGGGGGTCGTGCCGGATGTGAATTCCTTGCCGGGTCAGGGCGGGGAAGAGGGGGATAAGAAGGGGGATGGGGAGAAATCCGGGGCGGGGGGTGCGGTGCAGACTGGGATGTGGAAGCGGTGGAAGGAGCTGGGGTTCTTCGTCGTGTACATGGGCATTGTGGCGGGCGTGGCGGCCAGGATCCTGGCGGGACATCTCGGGTATGCGGTGTTGCAGACGGAGCGGGCGGTTTGGGGGGCGGTGGTCGTTGGGTTCGGGGCCGCGTTTTGGGGTTTGGTGGTGCGGGAGTAGATAGAAGGGGAAAATACTGCACATATATACATCTACGGATAACGAGGAAGAGTTTAGAGCATGTCATGACAGTTCGCGGGACAAAAAGCAAAAACGCTGTTTAGCATCCAAATAACACGATATCTTGACTGTACTGATCCTCTCATCGTATCGCAACTTTTTACTCCCCCCAGTAGCAGCCTCTATTTCCGATCCCACCAACTCAATACCCCTCCTCGTCCACGCTATACTCCCGGTACATGATCATGCTGTACCGGGCAAACGCACTCCGCGCCCGCAGGCCCCGCCCATACCGCGCGAACAGCGGCGGCACCAGACAAAACACCGTCGCGAGGGCGGCCAGCACCGAGACGGCGCCGTTGGCGCCCAGCCGCTGCAGCATGGGCGCCGACACGAGCGGCAGCACGGCCGACAGGGTGGCGCGCACCAGGCTCAGCGCCGCCAGCCCACTGGCCGCGTAGCTCAGGTAGCTGTCCGTCAGGTAGCCTCCAAGCACGTAGTCGATTTCGTTCAGACTGAAGCCCAGAAGCACCAAGGCGACGACCGACACCAGCCAAGGCACGTGCGCCATCGCCGGCGGGATCGTCCACGCGAACACCCACAGCGCCGCCGCCAGCACGGGCGTGCCGATCCAGAACCCCAGGAGCTTGTCCTCGGGCTGCAGCGGGCGGCCCTGGCGGCTGTGCTGCGCGATGATGCGCAGGTCAAACCACCGCGTCACGAACCCGAGGAAGAGACCCAGGCCAATAGCGATGAATGGCAGGCACGCCTGCCGCGGGCTAAACCCGAACGACATGTAGATTGGGGGCAGCGCCTGCGTGAACAGATACACCAGCGCGATGGCCACGGCGCTCATCACCGCCACGATGAAGACGAGGAGCTCCGTGCACAGCAGCCGGATCGGCCGGAACAGCGCCAATCGCACAAAGGTGTGCAGATCCGGGGCTTGGTCTGGGTTCAGCGCGTCCGGGGTGCCGGGGATCTGCGTGACCTGCCGGAAGAGCGCCACCTCCCGCGCCAGCAGTAGCGAGGGCCGCGACTCGCGGATGGTTAGTAGTAAAAACGCCAGTAGCCCGGTCACCATGGCGGCCACGTAGAAGAGCCATCGCCTGGGGATTCGTTAGTGGCGTTTTCTCGGAAGTAACTTCTCTTCCCAGTGAGGAGGAGAATTGGGGAGCACACCAGTTCATATCCGCCACGACAAAAGTACTCAGAATCGGACCGACGACCATCCCCAGATTGGCAGCCTGCACCCAGATGCAGATCATCCACACGCGCTCCCGCGAGTTGAACAGATCCTCAATGCTGCCGCCCACCACCGTTGTGGGAATCGCCGACAGAATCCCGCTCATAAACCGTCCCACCACCACCCCGGCCATCGACGGCACCGAGGCCACCACCACACACGCCAGGCTGTACAACGCGGAGCTGACGACATACAGCTTCTTCCGCCCAAACGCCTCCGAGTACGGCGGGAAGATGATCCCCCCGCACGCCTGGCCGATCAGGTACCTATGAACTAAGTCAGTATTCCCCCGAGAGCAAGGGACGGCAGATACTCACACGGACACAAAGAGGAAGATCGATAGCTCCTGCGGGACATCAAATTCGCGCACAGCACTGTTGGCAGCGGTGGACTAGACACGTCAGCTCCCTAAACACCAGTCCACGAGTCGAAGACTCACACCCGCGGTGCTCACTGCGGTGCTGAAAGTACAATATACCCTCCTGGTCAGTCACAGCGAATAGTACAGAACCCCCCACGGATAAACTCACGTAAAGAACTCCAAGAACAGGATTAGCGCAATGTCCCAGATCTTCCTCCGCAGCCGCCAATTCCGTGGATGTCGACCGTTGCCAACCGCCCACCGAATGTGCACGCCGTCTGCAGCCATACGAAGGCCATACTGCGGGAGCAACGACTGCAGAACGTCTTTCTCGGACTCGATCGAGGACGTGGTGATTTGGCTGGTGGGCTTCATGGCGTAGAATAGAACAAAGTCTTAGCTAAAAGTTGACCGGACATCATATCTTGACAGACAAGGGAGTCCACGGACGTGTGTATTTATTCAAGCTGGCATCGAGCCCTGTGG